AAAAGTGGCTTGAGAATGCAGGAAAACTGACCAATCAGAATGCCAGATTCCTCAGTATTTCTAAAGTGAATCTTCGATTATCGAGAAACTTTTTCCCACTCAAATTTTACCTTCTTTTCGCACGTGGATCGCTTCAAAAGTGATACCATCTGGAAACTGGCAATGTAAGCTTCACTATGACATTATGCTTTTAGAAATCGATCGAAAAATGGCGGAGAAAAGACCGATAAGTGTCATTTCTGTAAAACGTGAGTTTGGAGAGCTAAAGTGGATTGGGACTGCAAGAAAGTCGGCCAATCAGAACGCAGCATTTCTTAAGTGAAACTTGGCATTCGAGAAATCACCTTTACTCTCCATATCCTCCATTTTCTCGCAATTTGGTCATTACAAAAGTGGAACCATCGGAAAGCTATACTTCCGAGCAAAGCCATGGTATTATTTTTTCGAAGTCTGTCAATCAACGGCAGAGTTAAAGACTAATAAATTCCATTTTTTATACAGCGAGTTTCGAGCAAAAAGTGGATTCAGACTGCTACAACTTTATGCAAATTAGCTAGACGTATCTAGGTTAGTAGCCCACGTATATGGGTTAGTAGGTTTGTTCTGTCAAGGCCGCGCATGTATCAATGTATAAGCAGATATCCTTTTCAGTATACTTTGAAACCGTACCTTACGTGTTCTTTTACAGAATCCACGTAGATTGAAAAATGCTGACATATTTGTTCATTTCTATTTATTACACCTTAATTCGTATTATAGAATAGCGGGGATATTCTTTTTCCATCTGAAAATGTACAAATGTACTTCAACATTGGGCGAGGAAAGATTTGTACATCAAACAAACTTCATTCAAATACATGGAGAAATAAACTCATATTATCAAGAAATTCTTGAAACCTCTGTTGCAGTTGCACGCAAAGAAAACTTTATTTCATGTATTTGGTTCTATAATACTTGCATAATCAACTGCATGCCTTCATGTGCCTCATTGCAGAAAACATTTTTAGGACGATACTATTAAAGTTTTTTTTTGTGGATAATGACAAACATTCTACTATTTTCCGTAACTACCCTTATCTCCCCCAAGGAAAAATCTTTTGTTTTAACTGAATCTTTCACAGATTTCATATCGCAAACATTATCTCGAAATATAGTTGACAATGCTTTTGGCCATACTAACTGACTAATAATTGATACATCTTCTTGATAAACGATGGAATCAGATTATGTTCGGCCTATTGTCATAATTAAAACAATCAGTCATTTAAATCATTTAATGCTATGGGCTAATTTTGAATATTGTTTACCCAAAGTAAAATTGGTTGTCTGAGTACGTTTGAGATCGGCGTTTAGCGCAAAGCAGTGTTGATCATTTTAAGTATTACACTACGTTGAAGCATGGACGATATAAAAATGACTTTTTCATTCATACCAGGTGATGGATGGAATCAGACTATGTTCGATCTATTTTCGTAATTAACAAATCAGTCATTTAAATAATTTATCAAAAGTATAATTGGTTGACTGAGTACGTTTGAGATATCAGTCATTTAAATCACTTAATGCTATAGGCTGATTTGGAATATTGTTTATCCAAAGTAAAATTGGTTGTCTGAGTACGTTTGAGATATCACACAGTATACTTTCAACAGAAAATAAAAATGGATTAGTGCAGTATTGATTATTTTTAAATTTATAAGGAAAAAACCAGCCCCGCTTGTAAGGTTAGACTTTCACCTGGCCGTCATCGCCTCCCTAGATATCCAGCATGAAGAAAGTGAAAGTGTACATCATACAGAGAATGTTGCTCAATGCTAATAAAATTTCTAATGAAAACAATGCAGCTTTCAAGGTTAGACTTTCACATGGCCTTCATCGCCTCCCTAGTTGTAGATATCCATCATTGACCAGCCGATCGTGAGGGTCCGGAATCTTCCTTGAACGCGGGAAAAGGACTGGTGCGTTTGTATTTGGAGTGATAAAGATGCAGGCAGGAGGCGTAAATTCCGTAATGCATTCGCCAAGTGTGCCAAGGGTCTTCACTTGGACTGTTGCAGACACCATGTGTGCTGAAAATACTAACAGACTAGCATATTGACATGATTCGTTTATATAACGTAATGTATAAGATGTGGCTTATACATACTATTTTGTTGGTCACTTGTTTCGCATGGTACTAGCTTCACGTTTACGATTTATACAAACAAGTACAAGTAGGCTTTCATAATTAAACCATGGTTCATTATACACATCACAAATGTTCAGCCAATTAAAGTTATCCTGAATTTGTATGAATTTGAATTATCCTGATATTGTATATTTATTCATTGTTTTTGTGCATAGCATGTGTATTGTTCGTATATGCTCAATTTCTTTAATTTGAAAGAAGGAATAATAAAAGAAAGAGGATAAATATTTGTATCATATTTTAATTTGAATTATTGTCTTAAAATATTTAATAAGCTACGCCAAATGTGTTGCGCAAGAAACAATAATTGCCATTATTAAAAGTAATTACGTTTAGTTTTCAAAGTTTTTTTCTTTCAATCGTGCGATATTTCCAATGTTAATTTTAGCTATAAAACCCCTCTAAGAACTGAAATATGTATTGATTAAGTGACGTTCAACATGTTACCATAGTAACTAAAAGTGAAAATAAAGCATTTTAACACTTGCAATATCATCAAGATAGATACCAGTAGAAGATATATCATGGAGTGGCAAAAACATAAAAATCGACATTTTTCATCAATATTAGTCGTAATTCTGTGGCATTTTGACGTCATAACAATTCCAAAAACCCCCGGCACTCAAAGGGTTAAATTCACCATTTTGTGTTCGATTTTAAAAGTTACATATTTAATTGTTACAGCTATCGTTTTTTTGCTTAGTGTTTTGCGGAATTGTTTTTCATGGGCGTTGGGCGTCTATTACCAATAGTATACTTTACAGTGTAACCAATTACAATAATTTACCGGGTGGTGACATTTTGTCAGTTTATCGTCAATTATGAAAAAACTGGGTATAAATATTAATTTTTGCCAAGGTGAGACCTTTTCAATTTTACCTTAATCGATGACAAGCCTAATTTAGTCGAAGTATTATTTCAACCTCTCACGAGTTATTAGATTTAGATGAAATTCATTTTTATTTTTTTATTTTATTTATTTTTTTAATTCATTTGAAATTCATTTCTATATAAACAATTCATTTGAAATTCATTTCTATAAAATATTTCTAACATAAATTGTCACGTTTTCCCAAAGTTATCTATTTTTTAATCTTTTTGGCTCATAGAATTCCTAGCTTATATGCCTATATTTGTAATTATCTCAAATATTCATAGTTGAACAAGTACTTCATTCACATAAATCCAATATTTTAACATTTATGTCATTATCTATTTCTTGAGATTCCTCTTCCAGTTTAAAAAATCCAAACCAAATATTGTGAATTTAAAAAAACTACAGTAAGGATTAATAGAAAACCAGTTAGTTGCAAAAAAATGCCAATTCTCCTTTGTGGCGGATATCTTAAGCATTCAATTGATGTAATACAATTGCTAAATACATTTACGAGAAATGTTTTTGTTGCAAATCATGTCAATTATTGAATTATTAGATGTAACATTATAGGTTGCTGGGACGTTAATTATGAACCTAGAGAAACTTCTATAGAGCATGCAGAATTTCATCATGATTCAAATATTTCTATATTGATTCAAACATCAAGATGATGATTTCTCCGACAATTTTAAGAGCAATTGATTGCTTTGCAACATAGTGAGCCTTATTTATACCTGAGCGTCTATCTATTGGAATTAATAGAGGGATCAGATAAAGGAGATCATAGATTAAATAAAAGCCTCGGAATAGCTTGGATTAATACATTGACCAGGAAAGAAATCTATATTGACCTACATAAGATGTGTCTTTATATGATCAACATTTGTTCAATGTACCATAGGGAGTGTTAAAGGCGACAGAATCATCAGGATAATATATAGATATTTTTGGATAAATGTAAGTTTTCGTAAAAGATTGTGGCAGTTTTTATACTATATAGAAGGAAAATACCTTCCGAAAAGGGGTAAGAGAGAGAATTTATAGACAGAATGAGTGAAATTAGACTTCTTTCTAAAAAAGCGATGTGGAGCAGGATTTGTTTTATATTTAATATTTGTAGAAAGATTTTCTGAACTGGAAAACACCATATAATAATTTTTATTTTGTAGGTTATATAACTTCTGTTGTATTATATGCATTTGATAAAGTTTATGTTTTTATGCTTTGTGATTGAATAATCCTAGCTTCAATTTGACATGCCGGCAAAATGTGTTTTGAAAAAGCTTATGTTAGCAAAATTTTAGCTTTTTATTTTTTGTATATTGGAAAATTTGTCTATAACTAAGATACAGTATAATAAGCTATATTATAATTATTTCATTGTAACATGTCTTTCTCAAAATAACAGTACTTAAGAAAATAGTGTGTTTTACAATGTACATAAAGCATGATGAGGTATTTGACTATCAAAATATCTTAAGGTTTTTTGTTAAATGGCAGGAAATTCCAACATTTGAAAAAAACTTTATATGGGACCTTTAAACATCAAATCCCACTATGTAGGGAAGATTTGGAAGAATATAAAAAATAAAGTCTGAACTCTTTGCTCTGCAGAACCTGAAGCAAATTTATGAGAAATCCTTAAATATTATTAATAACATATCCCAACAGAATTAAAAGTGCTTTATTATTGATCAAGGGTACAAGGAACTATGAGGCAGGCAAGGCAAACAACCGCCTCACCAAAACAGAAAATACTTTAAAAAACATTTTAAATTAAAATTGTGAAGATTATGTCTTGCAGAAGTATAATAGCCTCTTTGGCCTCACCTATTGCCTCACCTATCAAAATTTGCCTCACCAATGTTTGAGTCCCAGCTGCGTCCTTTAAAATGGAAATGAAACACATTTCACTTGGTTCTTCATGTGTTATAGCATACAAGTACCATCGAGCCAACATAGAAGGAGACAGTCATGGCTACAGACATGTCATTCCACACAATCAAAGGACAACTACAGAAGCAAAGAGAAAACAATAGAAGATCCTAATGGAAAGGTAGGTTTTTAGATTTTTTGTTGCAAATCAATATATTTACATAATTACATGACTACAAGGTGGAAGAAACACTCTTTTGAGGAGGTGAAACAAAACTGTTAAAAGGGTATAAATCTGTACCAGGGTTCTCACTATGGTTTTGCTCCAGAGTCTAATAGCTTTTCCGGAGTCTAAAGTGTTTTTTCCGGAGTCTAATTTTACATTTTTGTCACATTACTTGTGGTAAAACTCTTGAGAAAATACATAAAACTGGATACAAACAAGGAATAGGAAGTCAGAAACCTTTTAGAAATCAATATTGGGATTAAAATAGCAAGATAATCCTAAGAAGTATGTTGAAAAGTATACTAATAGGATATCTCTGATCTCACATGGGGGAGAAGTAGTCGTGATACAGTGAAAAAAGTAGTCACAATATCGCTAAAAATCCGGGGTCTAAAAGTTTCCTGGTGAGAACCCTGTGTCCAGTATTGATTACATATTTATTGCCAATTAACATCAATATATGTCCTTATATACCCCTGGCGTTCATCAAATGCATTCTAATAAAAAAATTGTGCAAAATTAACAGGTTTTAATAAGAAATGAAAAGTTGGACCATAAGTCAGCTTAGCATGGTCCTTGTCGAATCTGGAAGCGAAGTCGAACGTATGCAAAGGGTGCAAAACAAGAGACATCAAAATCATGCAATGTTTTTTTATGAGTTAATGAACTCAAATTACAAAATAATGATCTCATCAAGGAGGAATAGCACGTAACCGTTAACAAGTGCAAATAGAAACTTACAACTGTGTAATGTAACATGACAATCAATCAAATGCACCCAATAATACAAAATGGAGTGTTATATATAACTAGAAAACAGCAACTCCACAGAGTAGAAAATCCTATCAAACAAAACATGTTTTGATAAATAGAGACTACATCTTGAAAATTTCTTCTTGAACAGAGCTCCCTTGTCCCTAGGTATCAGCATATAAAATTTGAACCAAGTCCGTCAACTGGTATTTGGGTTATCAAAGATTATATTTTATTGATAAATGGCGGTAAATTTGATAAATAGCGGCCATCTTGAAGCATCAGCATATACAATTTGAAACAAATCCATGAACTGGTATTGAATCATCAAACTTATGGTGGCCATTTTGAATTGAGTGGCCATATTGTAACTTCCTTCTCAACAGAGTCCTCGGCCCCATAAGGCATAAGTCTATGAAATTTAAATCAAATCTGTCAACAGGTACTTGAGTTATCGTACGGACACACCAATGGACGGATGGATGGACAGATGAACAGACAGACAGCTTCTCTATATCTCCCTTGAACTTCGTTTGGTGGGATAATTAAACTGTTCCATAATTATTTGTACATTGCTTGATATAACCCCTAAAATGATTTTTGCATCATAATACATGTAGTGTTTAGCTTTCTGATTTCTGTATGCATTGTGAGTATGTAGTTATTTAACCTGGCAATAAAATCTGTATATACAGGGTGAACAAAAAAAGGTAACACAAACAGATATTAATTCAGTCATCCAGCATGGGTTTAACGTTATATTTGGCAAAATTAAACCTTGTTCAATGTTCTTTCATTCTACTAAGATTCACTATGAATATCAAAATAGAGCGTGTCATATTTTTAACCCTCATTATTCTTCTAGATGGACACTGTACTACAAGAGTTAGTATTTAACCCTAATGGTGCTGCATCATACTACTGGATGGCAACAGTGACAGCTGCAGTCATGTATAATTACTGGGTTGTTATACTAAGGATTGCCTTCTTGGAGATGAGGCAAACAGTAAGTACAGTTTATATTCTTAGTATTTAACCCTAATGGTGCTGCATCGTACTACTGGATGGCAACAGTGACAGCTGCAGTCATGTATAATTACTGGGTTGTTATACTAAGGATTGCCTTCTTAGAGATGAGGCAGACAGTAAGTACAGTTTATACTCTTAGTATTTAACCCTAATGGTGCTGCATCATATTACTGGATGGCAACAGTGACAGCTGCAGTCATGTATAATTACTGGGTTGTTATACTAAGGATTGCCTTCTTGGAGATGAGGCAAACAGTAAGTACAGTTTATATTCTTAGTATTTAACCCTAATGGTGCTGCATCGTACTACTGGATGGCAACAGTGACAGCTGCAGTCATGTATAATTACTGGGTTGTTATACTAAGGATTGCCTTCTTGGAGATGAGGCAAACAGTAAGTACAGTTTATATTCTTAGTATTTAACCCTAATGGTGCTGCATCATACTACTGGATGGCAACAGTGACAGCTGCAGTCATGTATAATTACTGGGTTGTTATACTAAGGATTGCCTTCTTAGAGATGAGGCAAACAGTAAGTACAGTTTATATTCTTAGTATTTAACCCTAATGGTGCTGCATCGTACTACTGGATGGCAACAGTGACAGCTGCAGTCATGTATAATTACTGGGTTGTTATACTAAGGATTGCCTTCTTAGAGATGAGGCAGACAGTAAGTGCAGTTTATATTCTTAGTATTTAACCCTAATGGTGCTGCATCGTACTACTGGATGGCAACAGTGACAGCTGCAGTCATGTATAATTACTGGGTTGTTATACTAAGGATTGCCTTCTTAGAGATAAGGCAAATAGTAAGTACAGTTTATATTCTTAGTATTTAACCCTAATGGTGCTGCATCGTACTACTGGATGGCAACAGTGACAGCTGCAGTCATGTATAATTACTGGGTTGTTATACTAAGGATTGCCTTCTTGGAGATGAGGCAAACAGTAAGTACAGTTTATATTCTTAGTATTTAACCCTAATGGTGCTGCATCGTACTACTGGATGGCAACAGTGACAGCTGCAGTCATGTATAATTACTGGGTTGTTATACTAAGGATTGCCTTCTTGGAGATGAGGCAAACAGTAAGTACAGTTTATATTCTTAGTATTTAACCCTAATGGTGCTGCATCGTACTACTGGATGGCAACAGTGACAGCTGCAGTCATGTATAATTACTGGGTTGTTATACTAAGGATTGCCTTCTTGGAGATGAGGCAAACAGTAAGTACAGTTTATATTCTTAGTATTTAACCCTAATGGTGCTGCATCATACTACTCATGGCAACAGTGACAGCTGCAGTCATGTATAATTACTGGGTTGTTATACTAAGGATTGCCTTCTTAGAGATGAGGCAAACAGTAAGTACAGTTTATATTCTTAGTATTTAACCCTAATGGTGCTGCATCATACTACTCATGGCAACAGTGACAGCTGCAGTCATGTATAATTACTGGGTTGTTATACTAAGGATTGCCTTCTTAGAGATGAGGCAAACAGTAAGTACAGTTTATATTCTTAGTATTTAACCCTAATGGTGCTGCATCATACTACTGGATGGCAACAGTGACAGCTGCAGTCATGTATAATTACTGGGTTGTTATACTAAGGATTGCCTTCTTGGAGATGAGGCAAACAGTAAGTACAGTTTATATTCTTAGTATTTAACCCTAATGGTGCTGCACCATACTACTGGATGGCAACAGTAACAGCTGCAGTCATGTATAATTACTGGGTTGTTATACTAAGGATTGCCTTCTTAGAGATGAGGCAAACGGTAAGTACAGTTTATATTCTTAGTATTTAACCCTAATGGTGCTGCATCATACTACTGGATGGCAACAGTAACAGCTGCAGTCATGTATAATTACTGGGTTGTTATACTAAGGATTGCCTTCTTAGAGATGAGGCAAACGGTAAGTACAGTTTATATTCTTAGTATTTAACCCTAATGGTGCTGCATCATACTACTGGATGGCAACAGTGACAGCTGCAGTCATGTATAATTACTGGGTTGTTATACTAAGGATTGCCTTCTTGGAGATGAGGCAAACAGTAAGTACAGTTTATATTCTTAGTATTTAACCCTAATGGTGCTGCATCATACTACTGGATGGCAACAGTGACAGCTGCAGTCATGTATAATTACTGGGTTGTTATACTAAGGATTGCCTTCTTAGAGATGAGGCAAACAGTAAGTACAGTTTATATTCTTAGTATTTAACCCTAATGGTGCTGCATCGTACTACTGGATGGCAACAGTGACAGCCGCAGTCATGTATAATTACTGGGTTGTTATACTAAGGATTGCCTTCTTGGAGATGAGGCAGACAGTAAGTGCAGTTTATATTCTTAGTATTTAACCCTAATGGTGCTGCATCATACTACTGGATGGCAACAGTGACAGCTGCAGTCATGTATAATTACTGGGTTGTTATACTAAGGATTGCCTTCTTAGAGATGAGGCAAATAGTAAGTACAGTTTATATTCTTAGTATTTAACCCTAATGGTGCTGCATCGTACTACTGGATGGCAACAGTGACGGCTGCAGTCATGTATAATTACTGGGTTGTTATACTAAGGATTGCCTTCTTGGAGATGAGGCAAACAGTAAGTACAGTTTATATTCTTAGTATTTAACCCTAATGGTGCTGCATCGTACTACTGGATGGCAACAGTGACAGCTGCAGTCATGTATAATTACTGGGTTGTTATACTAAGGATTGCCTTCTTGGAGATGAGGCAAACAGTAAGTACAGTTTATATTCTTAGTATTTAACCCTAATGGTGCTGCATCATACTACTGGATGGCAACAGTGACAGCTGCAGTCATGTATAATTACTGGGTTGTTATACTAAGGATTGCCTTCTTGGAGATGAGGCAAACAGTAAGTACAGTTTATATTCTTAGTATTTAACCCTAATGGTGCTGCATCATACTACTGGATGGCAACAGTGACAGCTGCAGTCATGTATAATTACTGGGTTGTTATACTAAGGATTGCCTTCTTGGAGATGAGACAAACAGTAAGTACAGTTTATATTCTTAGTATTTAACCCTAATGGTGCTGCATCGTACTACTGGATGGCAACAGTGACAGCTGCAGTCATGTATAATTACTGGGTTGTTATACTAAGGATTGCCTTCTTGGAGATGAGACAAACAGTAAGTACAGTTTATATTCTTAGTATTTAACCCTAATGGTGCTGCATCGTACTACTGGATGGCAACAGTGACAGCTGCAGTCATGTATAATTACTGGGTTGTTATACTAAGGATTGCCTTCTTAGAGATGAGGCAAACAGTAAGTACAGTTTATATTCTTAGTGTTTAACCCTAATGGTGCTGCATCATACTACTGGATGGCAACAGTGACAGCTGCAGTCATGTATAATTACTGGGTTGTTATACTAAGGATTGCCTTCTTGGAGATGAGCCAGACAGTAAGTGCAGTTTATATTCTTAGTATTTAACCCTAATGGTGCTGCATCGTACTACTGGATGGCAACAGTGACAGCTGCAGTCATGTATAATTACTGGGTTGTTATACTAAGGATTGCCTTCTTGGAGATGAGGCAGACAGTAAGTGCAGTTTATATTGTTAGTATTTAACCCTAATGGTGCTGCATCGTACTACTGGATGGCAACAGTGACAGCTGCAGTCATGTATAATTACTGGGTTGTTATACTAAGGATTGCCTTCTTGGAGATGAGGCAAACAGTAAGTACAGTTTATATTCTTAGTGTTTAACCCTAATGGTGCTGCATCATACTACTGGATGGCAACAGTGACAGCCGCAGTCATGTATAATTACTGGGTTGTTATACTAAGGATTGCCTTCTTGGAGATGAGGCAGACAGTAAGTGCAGTTTATATTGTTAGTATTTAACCCTAATGGTGCTGCATCATACTACTGGATGGCAACAGTGACGGCTGCAGTCATGTATAATTACTGGGTTGTTATACTAAGGATTGCCTTCTTAGAGATGAGGCAAACAGTAAGTACAGTTTATATTGTTAGTATTTAACCCTAATGGTGCTGCATCGTACTACTGGATGGCAACAGTGACAGCTGCAGTCATGTATAATTACTGGGTTGTTATACTAAGGATTGCCTTCTTGGAGATGAGGCAAACAGTAAGTACAGTTTATATTCTTAGTATTTAACCCTAATGGTGCTGCATCATACTACTGGATGGCAACAGTGACAGCTGCAGTCATGTATAATTACTGGGTTGTTATACTAAGGATTGCCTTCTTAGAGATGAGGCAAACAGTAAGTACAGTTTATATTGTTAGTATTTAACCCTAATGGTGCTGCATCGTACTACTGGATGGCAACAGTGACAGCTGCAGTCATGTATAATTACTGGGTTGTTATACTAAGGATTGCCTTCTTAGAGATGAGGCAAACAGTAAGTACAGTTTATATTCTTAGTATTTAACCCTAATGGTGCTGCATCGTACTACTGGATGGCAACAGTGACAGCTGCAGTCATGTATAATTACTGGGTTGTTATACTAAGGATTGCCTTCTTGGAGATGAGACAAACAGTAAGTACAGTTTATATTCTTAGTATTTAACCCTAATGGTGCTGCACCATACTACTGGATGGCAACAGTAACAGCTGCAGTCATGTATAATTACTGGGTTGTTATACTAAGGATTGCCTTCTTAGAGATGAGGCAAACGGTAAGTACAGTTTATATTCTTAGTATTTAACCCTAATGGTGCTGCATCATACTACTGGATGGCAACAGTGACAGCCGCAGTCATGTATAATTACTGGGTTGTTATACTAAGGATTGCCTTCTTAGAGATGAGACAAACAGTAAGTACAGTTTATATTCTTAGTATTTAACCCTAATGGTGCTGCATCGTACTACTGGATGGCAACAGTGACAGCTGCAGTCATGTATAATTACTGGGTTGTTATACTAAGGATTGCCTTCTTAGAGATGAGGCAAACAGTAAGTACAGTTTATATTCTTAGTATTTAACCCTAATGGTGCTGCATCATACTACTGGATGGCAACAGTGACAGCTGCAGTCATGTATAATTACTGGGTTGTTATACTAAGGATTGCCTTCTTAGAGATGAGGCAAACGGTAAGTACAGTTTATACTCTTAGTATTTAACCCTAATGGTGCTGCATCATATTACTGGATGGCAACAGTGACAGCTGCAGTCATGTATAATTACTGGGTTGTTATACTAAGGATTGCCTTCTTAGAGATGAGACAAACAGTAAGTACAGTTTATATTCTTAGTATTTAACCCTAATGGTGCTGCATCATACTACTGGATGGCAACAGTGACAGCTGCAGTCATGTATAATTACTGGGTTGTTATACTAAGGATTGCCTTCTTGGAGATGAGGCAAACAGTAAGTACAGTTTATATTGTCAGTACCTCAATCTAAATACAGTAAAACCTGTCTAAGTGTACAACAATCAAAGTACAGTGCAAACAGTAAGTACAGTTTATATTGTCAGTACCTCAATCTAAATTCAGTAAAACCTGTCTAAGTGTACAACAATCAAAGTACAGTGCAAACAGTAAGTACAGTTTATATTGTCAGTACCTCAATCTAAATACAGTAAAACCTGTCTAAGTGTACAACAATCAAAGTACAGTGCAAACAGTAAGTACAGTTTATATTGTCAGTACCTCAATCTAAATTCAGTAAAACCTGTCTAAGTGTACAACAATCAAAGTACAGTGCAAACAGTAAGTACAGTTTATATTGTCAGTACCTCAATCTAAATACAGTAAAACCTGTCTCAGTGGACAACAATCAAAGTACAATACATTACAGTAAGTACAGTTTATATTGTTAGTACCTCAGTTGAAATACTCGATTTTGATTGGTCAACGAGCGGTGAATAATTTTAACTGTACACCGCGCAATACATTGTCGGTGAATAATATTCCCAGCATTCCACTAAAATCTAAGATATTCTTCGGACTAACAAAACAATTATAGACCTCTCCATTCGGTTTACTGTCAAAATTATATCCCGAGACTGTAAACCGAGTCTCGGTTTACAGTCTCGGGATATAATTTTGACAGTAAACCTCTGGAGAGGTCAATAATTGTATATTGTCAGTACCTCAATCTTAATACAGTAAAACCTGTCTAAGTGGACAACAATCAAAGTAATTGAGTAAGAAGCAGAAATGTATGAAGTTCAATAGATAAAGTGTTTTTAATGTAAATTAAAGGGCAATGGAATATTATGTCAATTTAAATAATACAAATTTGATATGAGTTGTGGCAACACAATGAATGGTGTGGTAAATATCTGTATCTTTCAATGATTCTACATACTGTTAAACCAGTGTATTCCTTCAGTCATATGTAATACCTTGATGGATCAAGATGATGATTCTACCAAGGAGGTGTATGCCCAAGACTTCACTAGAGAATAACTAAAAGTGACACAGATATTCACCAAAAATGTTATATTCAGTCACTGTTGAATTGTTCACTGTTATGTTCATTGCCATAGTGGGAATGTCTCATATAAAAAGAAGAATGAAATATAAATATAAATAATAATTTCTCTACTTAGAATTTAAGTCTGCCTGTCAGATACTTTCACAATTGAAGTCTGAAGGAGCAGGAAATATCAATTCCTGAAAGCATAGAATATCAATTTGTACTCCCTGAATAAATTCATAGAGGTTTACAAATCATATCATTTATAAATATGACTTAGTCTTAGTGAACAATATTCAACCAAATACCCCATTATTATCCCAATCTTGTACCCTCTTTTTGGACTAAGTGAATTTGTTTAATCTCAATCAAGGAGGATTGGCTCCCAGAGTGCACCACCGATATTCTGTCCCATATATGGGTATGTCGTAATACAAAATTCGAATTCAAACAGCCGCCATTTTGTTCACTTCAACATTTAAATCGTGAATTTTGGTCTTATTTCCAAACGAAAAATTCCAAAACTCACAAGAAATGATCGAGATATTGGTTCGAATCTTTTGAACTGTTTATTTTGAATTTATCGTCGGTTTTAATTTCAGAAAATAACGACATTTCGACGTTTTCATTGTTGGAAAATATCGAGTTTCGATCCTGGGAGCCAATCCTCCTTGATCTCAATCTTGACATTGACCTTCAATTCTCAATTGACCTCAACCCGATGACCTTTTCTCCTTATTCTAAATCAACCCTTTTGATGTTATTTTAATCAAAATCTAAGTTACCTAGACCTTCCAATATAATAATAGCTGTTAAATATTTAAAATCCAAATAGTTTGAATTGACATTCTATGCAAACCAATCAGGTCACCCTGACCCTGTGATAAAACAATAAGCTTTTGTTCTATAATATGGGGACATGTCAATCTTTTGTGAAATATAATCAATGGATTAGTCTATGCATCAGATTAAAGGCAAAATTTATTCATAACAATAATAATTAATCATATTCAGTTAGACTTTATTATAAAATCAATGATTAGATTTGAAAAGTTTGAGCATTATAATAAACTATTACACCAGTTAATATAAAATGTACTTTAAATATTGCAGCTCTCTATTATTGAGGTAGAGGCAGAGATTGTACCATAGTATTTGAGAAATTGCTCACTTATTGGGATATATTAAGCACATGCTTTACTGTAGACAAATAAGAAAAATCTCTAAATGTCCTATATACAAGGGGCGATCCATATATTCTGATAAAAATGCTCTTATTTTGTAATTTCTCCACATATCCCTCTCATTTTTTTCAGAAAATGTAGATTATGTAATTACACATATGATGCTAAAATATTATAGCTATACCTTAAAATGATCAAGAGATAAGGTTGCCATGGTAATTTGTATTAAGGGTAGGCAGGTCAATTAAATTATAACGTATAAATTATCATAATAACTTGTTATTTTAATTATTTTAAAGCCTGCGGAAATCATACATCTTTTTCTAGAAATGTTTTGTATTGTTGCTCATTGTTTGTTATTAAACAAATATTTATTTGTGCTCACTATAACATCACAACAACTCACAATAGCATTGTAGGACAGAATGGGCAAATTGACATTACATGTCATGAGAAACACCAAAAATCAAAATGTCAGATAAGGTTAGTGCAGCTGATGCAGAGTGTGACATTAACAGATACATCAGTCGTACCATTAAATTTTATATTCTATCAAGAATAAGTAAGAGGTTGTATATTAGATAATCATTAGAAACAAATGGGCAACATTTCAAATTGCATAATAAGTCCATAAGAACTTCAGACGGGTAATTGACTATAATGAAAATCACCACCATGAGTTTATTATGTAAAGACAAATATAGAACAGACAAATTATAAGAATATTCCCAGGGTCTTAAAATGCTAGAGAGACCCAACTGGATCGATTCAACATTCCTTGTTTTTGGGGTATTTTTCTGAATAGATACTTAATATATGATTATTTCAAAAGCTAACGACAGTTCTTCATAAATGAAGTATATATGAATTGTAAAAGAACATTCCAAAATTCCCAAATACATTGTACAGTAAAACCTGTTAAATTGAACTCTGTAAGTTGAACACCTCAAAGTTCCATCCATGCAGAATTAACCTCTGTTAGTAACACTAAGTACACCTCACAAATATGAAACACTATAAGAAACACCAACCAAACGTGTTCCACATTCTTTGTCAACCTTAGTTTATTTGACTTAAAATATGTTAAAATAACCATTTCAGTCCCTGAACCAACAGTGTTTCTTCTACTTGGATATCATCTCTGACATCATCTACCTACTGGACATTGGAGTACAGCTTAGGACGGCTTATTTAGAGAATGGGATCCTTGTGTTTGACACTGTGAAAATGAGTAACCACTATAGACAGAAGAGAAGGTTCATAAAGGATGTCATTGCTGTTGCTCCCCTTGGGACACTCTTCAATATATTTGCAGGTTTGTTAGATGAAGGGATAGTGTCAAAATGTCATGAAAGTTAATTTCATTATGGTTTAACACCCCCCCCCCTCCTCTCAAAAAGGAACAAGGTATGCAAATTGTCACCATCTGCCATTTGTTACAAACACCAACCACCAAATGTCAATGCCAGACATCGTCAACAAAAATGTTGGAGACCATAAAAAATGTTGAATTGCTGTTGATGTACTGTCAAAAATTAATATTTCACACTGATAAATTGCCATTTACCCCCTCCCAATGAAATTATTTATTTTTGTATAAAATAAGTTTTTTTCTATTCTTTTGCATTTTCTCAATTTTAATGACAATATTTAGATACCATCCCATATTGCAAGTCTCTTGCTGAGTCAATGGCTAGAGGTTTTGATAACAATATTCTATGTTAAAAATTCCCTATATCAAATCACCTAATGTGATAATATTTTCCTATTTTTACTCATGAAAGATTCCTATTTGGCACCCTTCTCAATCTTATCATGATGATATTTACATAGAACTATGTTTCCATTTTATTTTTCCCATCAATTTTTCAGTTGTTGTATATGTGACCATTGGCAGTACTCAGGTTGGAGAAAGTAAGTTATACTTCTAATAACGCTACTGTAAACATAATTACATTCTTAATATCTTTGACCATAACCAGGACTTTACCAAATGCGCTTTCGGATATGGGAATTTGAGGGAAAATTGCACACTTTGGTCATCATAAACTTTAAATAAAATATATGCGTGTGTAGTGTGATACATTTTAAAAGATATCAGTGCATCGAAAAATGCTTTTAGAAAGTTTTGCAATTATCAAACTTGCTATACAAGTAAAACATTAAGTAAATAAATCCTTATTTCAGCGGATATATTTGGGCCAATAATGAGGCTTCCAAGACTGCTAAAATATCATACTATGATGAAATTCTTCGATGTAACGGACAGGTAAGAAAGAGCACCTTACATATTAATCAATACAAGACCACAACTGAGTTGCTCATCTTTGGCAAAGATGCATCTGTGTATGGATAAACCTCACCACTCTTAAAAAATCAAACATCGTACACTAGACAATATTTTTCAGTCATCTATCAATGATGCTTGTGATAAATAAAATCTTAATTCTTTATTCATGAAACTGATTACTAGCTTGATCAATTTACTGATAACTGTTAATATAAAAGATTTATTTATATGCTACACCATTGTATAATTACAACCCGACTGGCATCTTTGAAGGAAACATGTTAGAGTGGTGATTAAACTTCTTCACTACAAAGGAATGAATCAACTGTATATCGGGCTGTATATCTACCAATTGAAGATGGTATTGAAAATAAAGTTGATTTCATAATGGTATAACCCCTCCTGCCCACCCATGAATAAAAATTGAAAATGTTGGTTTGCTATTCAGTGTTTTCAGTGCTATCTATATTTTACATTAAGGAAATCATTATTTACCCCCTCTAACAAAATTTGATCTGCTCTTCTAATACATTTAGACAAAATCCCTGAGGAATTGCCAATACGTCAAAGTGGTTTAAATTAAATAATTAATAGGCAAAATCAGTATCAGTGCAAAAGAAGCTTTTTTGTACCTTTATAACTGATCACTTCAAAATGTGACCTCTTTCTCCGTCCTTTTTTCCATATCCTATTTAACCGACTTCCATGTTAACACGACCCTTAATGAACATCTACAACACTTTTAACATGTCGTAATTACTGCCACTAAGCTCTCTAGAGATGAATATAAAGCAACTGAAATAGCTAAGGATGGTCATTATAGAAATCGAGGCACAGCACACATTTTGTATTTCTATAGGGAGTTTCCTATTAACTAATATGGCATTAATATCCGGCAACATTATTGAAGAATTACCTATTATAGTCTGTACTGAAATATTTCCTAAGAAAAATTAGAAGTGATTGATGACACCCCCTGAAACATTAATCCAGCCTCATTAAATGATTGCTTTTTCATTTCCTATCTTTGAACATTTGTCCTTTTTCAGTTTTGTTATAATGGAGACAATGTATTTATTAACAGTACAAATACAACTAATGAACATTTATTTCTGGTTAACCTCTATGTCTAGCTATGCCCTTTTATTTAACAAATGGAATACATGTGCCTAAATCTATAGCAACATTTACCTATCATGAACACCTCTATCTCTAGATTAGTGAACACCTCTATCTCAAGATTAGTGATCACCTCTATCTCAAGATTAGTGAACATCTCTGTCTCTAGATTAGTGAACACCTCTCCCTAGTAAACTACTTTTTCTGGGAAACAAATACCACAAGAAATCACACATTTCTTATAAACACAACCCTAAGTAATAAACACCTGTTTCAAGTGAACACCTATCTATAATACAGATCTGATGTATACACATCTTTCATTGTACCAAAACCTAAAGTGCTCACCATAAATAAATGACACCTGGCTTTTCTATCACCATTTCAAGACCATGGAGATTTGAGACTTCGTACTTTCCAATAATGTCTAGATACACATCCCTTAAGTTTTGTATATTTTACATTTTGTACACTCACATCCACTGATGTATAGCCTCTTGAAAATTCTCTTCTTTTTAACATTGGAAATCCTCACTTCAGCAAATCCAGGTGTCATTTATTTATGGTGAGCACTGTATGTGTTATTCCAGTCGCACCAGCAGTCCATACAGAGTAAGGGCCTTCAAGTTGACACTCTACTTGTGGGTGGTTATTCACTGGATAGCTTGCTTCTATCATGTCGTATCTGAGGTGTGGATGATTTAGATTATACAAGAATGAATCCAATATTTATAAAATAGAAATACCATAATTTTTTTTTTAGTCTAAATCTTTAATGTATATTATCAAGCAAAGCTAGTAACATTTCATAAAACACCAATTTCAAGAAAAGTTGGCAACATTTTATTAAACAATAGGACATGATGTCGTTCAGGAATTTAATCGTTTTGTCTTTTGTTAGTTTAAACAATCTACTTGGTGATTTTAATTAGATTTGTTGGAGCCATAAGACCTTTTATAATAATTCTTATCTATTTCAATTTGTATGCTCTTCACTTTAGTATGAGGGATTTGGCTCAAATAATTGGGTGTATCCTGCTGATGAAGAAGACCAGGTCTTTGCAAGGTAAGGCATAATGTTAAACCAATTGCATTCCTTTAGTCATTTGTAATACCTTGATGGATCAAGATAAGGTTAGATGGCTTTGGGGTGACGCGGATCAATAAATCAAACTAAAACTCTGAGAAAACCGAAAATTAACAATGAGAGGGACAAATTTAAGGATTACATACTTTTAAGTCCAAAGTGTCAACTGAAGATTGTTTATACTTAATGTATGGAATGCATTAGTCTATCATAGTATAGTAGTTTTATGTTCTAGGAAGTATATCCGGTGTATGTACTGGTCAATGATGACATTAACAACAATAGGGGAGACAAATACACCAGAAACAGATATGGTATGTACAGGGTGACCCAAAAATGCTTTTTAAACTTTGTGGAATCTTCTTGATTTCTCCTGTATAGATGGATTAAATACCATTTTGAATCTCTTGTCACAGATCAAGTTTATTCACCAAATATAAGTTGTTTCAGTAAACATTACTTCACATCACATACTGCATATTACACACTCCAAATGATGCATCTTTATTTTCAAATTTTGCTAGGAGTATGTATTCACTGGGTTCACCTTTCTCGTTGGTGTATTTGTGTTTGCTGCAGTTGTCGGGAATGTAGGTGATGTCATCAGTAACATGAATGCCGCAAGACAGGAATTCCAAGGAAGGTTGGTATTTTCATCAACAATTAAATGAATAACAACTCTTTCTTCAAAACTCAACTTTGATCTAAAAATCTCTCAAACAATCCAGTAAAACCTGCAAAGTAGAACACCACTAGAAGTGGAACACCTCTGTGAGTGGAACACTTTTCAGAGTCCCAAGACCAGCTGACTTTATGTTAAATGAACTTCTATAAGTGGAACACCTCCTAAGTGGAAAACATTTTAGAGGTACCAAATGTGTTCTACTACTTCGACAGGTTTTACTGTAGGAGGATGCTTACAAAATAGTCTCAAACCGTACATTACGGGCCTTTAAGAATTTCACCTTCTCCTTTCTCTACACAGGATGGACTCTGTTAAGTTCTACATGAACCATAGAAAAGTACCTCAACACCTTCAAGATAGAGTGAAACAATGGGCGGATTATTCATGGACCCGAACCCAGGCTCTTAACCAATCAAATCAGCTGGATTTGCTTCCAGAGAGACTGCAGGCAGAGATCGCTATTCATATTCACCTTGATATTCTCAAAAAGGTAAACAAATTAATTCATAACAAGGAGCAAGAAACTAAACCTTACAGCATCGGCATCCTATGAATAAATGAGAATGAGAAAATTTCATTTTATAGCCAACCAGAACATTAGCCAAACCTTTCCAGTTCAGTTATCTACTCCAAAAATATGAAACGCCATAGATCTGGGCCATACAGGTTTTGTTACCTGAACATCAAATACATGTAAATCTATTCTATTAAATGCATATTGACTTGCATTATCCTTAATTACAGGTGAAGATATTTGAAGAATGTGAGGAAGGATTACTGAGGGAGTTGGTGCTGAAACTGAAGTCTCAAATCTACTCACCAGGGGATTATATATGCAGAACAGGCGAAATAGGTAAATAACTACTTTAAAGTACTTTAATATGTAGAGTATGACAATGATGCAATATTTCTTTACGATTATTATAGAATTTATACTGTATGTACTTAACATTATATTAATTATGAAATAATTAGTTTAGTTTAAAATATTTTATTTCTGTGTCACAGGTTTAAAAACTACATTTCAATATCATATAATAAATACTTTTTTAAAAAAAAACCACCAGCCGGCATCGGCTTAGGAGACACCATTAAATGTATATCTAATTGTAATTGAGTATTGACAAGAATAAGTTGACTAAGAGCACTCTTAAATAGAGTAGTATAATAATCACATAGTAAGCTTCAAACCTGATTTTTTGAAGCAGAATGGCAGTGTTTCATATAGAACATGTACTTCATTTATTGCAATACAATGTATTTTCAGGTAGAGAGATGTATATTATAAATCATGGCAGAGTAGAGGTAAGATGTCTTATTTTAAATTCATTTGTATCTCTGTCATTTATTTATTTTATACTACTATTGTTGTACATTGATCCAAAGTCCCGGTGGACACTAAATACATATCAGTATATATATCAAATAATTTCATAACATGTTACAATAGTACATTATTATTTCACTGCAGAAAACTTGCTTTACTACTTTATGAATTCTTATCAAAATGATACCAATTGAAACACAACACAAGAGCCTTAACAATATGTTATATCTATTAGATCCTTGTGACCAATGGAGAAACGGGAGACAGCATGGTAGTCGCAACATTGAGTGAAGGCAACTACTTTGGTGAGATAAGCTTGCTCAAGCTGGACTATGGTCAAAACAAGTAAGAGTGACTTTTATCAACATATTGTACAAGTTTGAAAAGTTCATCATTCAAAGAGGTTTTTGTCAGAGAATCCAAATATCATCTTCCTCGGATCTGGAACTGACGATCATACTCAATCATATAGAAGATAAGGCATATGTGCTTCTTATCTTAAACTTTTCTGCTTAAAATTAAACAAAAAGAACAAAGTTTGACATTTATGTATACTGGGATCACAAAATCATTTTTTTAAAATAATATGTTATTGATAACAAAATAGCTTTCAAAAAGCTATCATAAACTTTTGACCAACTTTGGTATCTCATAATAGATAAGGTTTCAAATACACAAAGTTCACTAAAACATCAATGTATTATGTATATTTTGCAGACGAACCGCAGACGTCCAGTCTGTGGGTTACTCAGAGCTCCTCTGTCTTTCTAGGAAGGACCTTATCACAGTATGTAATATACTCTTCAATATATGACTTCTATCTAATGGGTTATATAGCATGAACCACATGTTTACAAAAGAATTTGTCTATTGTATAGTAACTATGAGACCAAAACTATGAGTCTAAAAGAACAAGGGGCACAATTGAAAACCACATAAAAACTTATAAATTGACTTATCAGCATCCAAAACATGAATATTATAAGATACAATACAGGCAGAATTAAAACTAAAGGCCCCTTGATTCTGACTGAAACACACCAGGTTAGGAAAGAATTTATATGTATAAGACTGACGAGATTTGAATCGATGTAAACAATTAATCAACATTGTGCCAATCTTACTGATATCACAACAAAGCTTGGTATATTGATCTGGACTTATTATGATGCAGCAAATTAATTTGGATTATCAAAGCAATATTGATAGACACGCTAAAGAAATCACGTAGATATTCATACTTAAAGGTAGAACAAGGACCTCAGAGGACACATACTTTCATTACTTTTTCTTCGCTATCAAATTTTCCTTTATTAGTTATTTGTCTTACAAGTGACATATATTTCGTTAAAATCCGTGGAATTGCTTCATTTTCCTCTGATTGTCACTTCAAATCAAGTTTGACGTTGGAAATTAAAAAAGTTGACATTCGCTTTTTCATTTAAGGAAGCAGTACCGGGTCGGTTTTCACGTCTGTTTGCGTAGGTTTGACTTCCGGTTTGAGAAAGCTAGCTCCCAAGAACGTCATTTTCGCATTTAGTCTTATTCAAAAATTATAGTTTATTTCAATAATGGTGTTTCCAGAAAATAATTAAATTGCAAACATTTTATCAAGCATATTTTATCCCTTTCACTTTTATGGGAAAACTTGTTCTTGAGTCGCAATTAGTGGATACGAAAACCAGGGTTCGAAAGGTGCCAGCTCTTTTGAAAACTCAAAAAAGTAAAAAGATTCATTTTGGGTAGGTAAAATAAATTTTTTATTTTGTAATTACCAGACGGTCAATCCTCTTCATATTGCACTTGGATGATGATACCATCATAGTGATACATTGTAAAAAATATGAGCAAAATCTAATGTCTGGAATTTTTTCTACGCTGAGCTGGTACTGCATCCTTAAGATTCAGTGAAGATATGCAGAATAGAGGTCAGATAGAATTGCACTTACAATATAACTGTGTCAATGCTATGTTTGGTTTAGGTGATGCTACAGTGAAGTAGTAACATAATCTATATCCCACTGACTCCCAAGGAAGAAGCTTACACCCAGCCATTGAGCTAGTCTCTCTTTTCTCCCTACCCTAAGTATGACCCTACATGCACCCTCTCTCTCTCATTCACTTTTATGTACATATACAGGGCGTCAAATAAGTCTGTTCTCCCCCTTAACTTTTTTAATTCAGAAATAACATAGGGTTGGCATAGACCATCTTAAAGAGAATTCAATTTGCTGATCACACACCAAATTTCAGAGTGATTGGTCAAATTCCAAATTTTTTAGAGTATTTTTAGTGATGTCCATGTTTAATTTTGGCTGTTAATTCAACTATTTTGTGATGAAAGATGCCCCTGGTTCAAAAGCTCCCCTAAATGTAACATATTTTACTCTGTAACGATATTGAGAAACATCGAAATCACCCAATGTTGGCATTGTCACTGCAATATCATTTTCACTTTTCAATCACTCACTATACGTGGTAATTTTACTTGTTTTGATGTAATCAAATATCAACTACAACCTTACAAGAAACATTGTAGCAATTTTATAAGGAGGCGTTTATGATTGATTTTTTGAGGGTGATCAGCATTCAAAATGATATCTGGGAAAGTATGATAAATTTAAAGATAAAAAGGTTAAGGGGGAGAACAGACTTATTTGACACCCTGTACTTCAAATTGGAATTGAAACTGCCTGTATTCATTCCAGTGAGGTCTTTCCAACCAGTATAGCTTTGAGAGACAAGGCATTAATATGCAAAGCGTCACCACCTTCCATGTGTTACAGATTCCATGTTACAGACACCAACCGCCGAATGCTGACCACCAAACACCAACCGCTGTCTACAAAAAGTTGGAGACTATAACAAATTGTCACCACTTGGGGTGGTGACATAATAAATCATATTTTGACTTCATGCCTATGTTTGTAGCATTCTCTTCACAATATTCATTTATCCAAACACACCCACTGTTAGATTATATCATTCAGATACTCATCCTTTCTCCTTTGTTACGACCACTTTGCCAAAGCAATCTTAGTATGAAAAGATTGCGATGATAGCCCATGATGACATGATATACTATACATATGTACTGGTAGTACTCACAAATTGTGTCTTGTAGGCTTTAGTGGAATATCCAGAGGCAAAGAAAGTATTGGAACAACAGGCTAGAGAAAGGTGAGGCTGGGTAGAATAATGGGGTTGGGGACATACAGAAACTTTGTTAAGAATCCTTAAAATTATTGTAACCATGGATATAATGACATCAAAGAGATCAATGGACCTTAAAGATTCTCGCAATCTTTATCCAATCAGCGTTTGCGAGTGTGTCGGCTCACGTATAAAAGGCGAATCCAACTCAAATCCATGCAGGGGTGTATGAGGTACTCGAGGAAAGAGCTCGTGAAATCTGAATTTATATGCACATGGTCAATGTTTACACATGTTTGGAGTTATTGAAGAAAATGTGATATGGGTGTGGTTCCGAATTTGAAGTCATTGCTGGAAAATATGATTTTAATACGTGAAATTATATCTATAAATATAGCACTAAAAATAACAGTACACATAAAGTACATGTATGATTGTGTTCAGAAATGTTTGAAACCCTTACGGAAAATTGCACCATTGCTCTTTCTCATGTTTCTTCCCGCATTCTAGTGCTGTTTGAATGAATATATTAATTAATGTATTTCTAACTAAAACATATCACATTTTTTTTATAAACCACAAACATTTAGATCATAAAAAAATTATTCAATACTTGAGTGAGCACGATATGCAAGGGTTACTAAGTTGACACAGTAAATGACCACTGATATTGTGTTAGGCCATGCACACAGCGTACACCCCTCACTTTCATAGTGAAGTGACTAATTGGTTTATGTTTACGTTTTAATGTGTTTTGGGTTCCTTGTTACAGCAAGGGGGGCCAGTAAAGTAGACTAACATGTTTGCATGGCAAATTTTGATCGAATATGTGAGACACTTTAAGTAAACTTTACAAACTTTCTGTTGATGAACCCCCTTTTTGCATGAAATAGTAATATGTACATATATGATTTTCTTTAATCTATAAAGGCCCTTAGCCAGTTTTTGCCAAGGGGATTCACTTTTCTATGATTTCAAGGGGGGTTCACATTTGATAATTTTGGTCCAAAATTGGCTAAAATTACTTGATAAAACCAGGGGTGAGGGGTTCGCTCGAACCCTCCAAACTTCCCCTGGCTACGGGCCTGGTAATTGTACAAATTTTGTAGGTTTTAAAGTCATTTCTATTTCCAGAATAAAGAAGAATCGTGAGGCACGTCGAACATGTTCTAGTGATAGCCTCCCAACTACCAACTCTCCAAATCACTCAATTTCCTCCGATGAGAAGCCTATATATGGCAATACAATTTACCCGACAATACCCCCAAAATCGGAAAAATTAAAGGAAGTGATACAATCTGATGAATTCAGGAAATTAATGCTTAACAAAGGTAAGTTACAGAAAATATTGTTCACCTTAAGATTTCTGGTACAGGCACATGTATTTATTCTTCAATGAGATGTTAAGCACAATTTGCTATATCAATTAATATGGAATGAGTTAATAAGGATCAATCCTATGTGACACTAATCTACATGTAACACCATGTTGCATTCTAAGGTCCAACACTACCTACACTACAAATATAGAACATGATCCAAAACATCTATTCTTTATTTAAAATCTTCCCATGGCTACTTGTACTATCTTATATCCAATGCTTTGCACCCAGTTGAAAATCCAACTTACTCAGTTGTGAATCTTCGGTTTTGGATATTTTTATCTCTGCAATTTGCAAAATGAGTATATAATTTCATACCCTATTCAGAAAAGGTGCCAGCTCGATAGTACACATATCCCTGACTATTGCTTGCGATTAAAGGCCTGTTGAATATAGTTCAAATCATGTGCTGAGTGGTAATGTGAAAAAACAGAGCACCAAGGTGACACTAACTTGAATAAATACTACAAATATGAACTTTTCAGGAAAAGAAGTGTCAGAATTGAAACAAATCATCGCAGATGTGAAGAGCTTTGACAGTATGGTGACAAAAGAAAGAATAGCAAATCTCTCTATGAAATGTGACAATCTAACTGAACAACTCCAAGTGCGTGACATTGAGATCCGCAAAGCAGTAAAACGAGTGGCAGAGTTAGAATTTATACTTCAAATGACCAATCAGAGACCCAATAACCAATCAGCAGAGAATGCAACCTCAAATTCTATTGGTCACCATGAACCACCCAAACATCTTTTCAATACCAAAAATAACAGAGAAAGTGCACTACAATACAAGAACATGATAGGTGAACTAATTATCAAGGATCATAAAATAAAGCGTCATAATATAAGAGGATCAAAATTCCGCAGTTATGGCTCTAGCAGTAGCAGCTCCATTGACAAATCTCATTCTTCCATAAATAGTGTCAACAAATTCCATCGAGTAAAACTCAAACATCTCCCAAGAAGTGACTCAGCAGACAGTTATACTGAACAAGTACATATTACTCAAAATACACCTACAACTCAAACGGATGAAAACCAGAATATCAATGAGAAGGGTTCTTCTCAAGCCAGTAAGAAAAATATCTATGTTCCTGGTATCTCCGTGAATGGTGTCCTAGAACAACAGCCATCTATCACTGTGCCATCAGAAACTGACTCTGAACAGAACATTGGTATCATAACCACTGGTCCCGATAATACAAACTGTCTCAATATACAATCCTCATTTAGACCATACTTGCAAAAGCATAGTTCTAACTCATTCTGTAGTACAAGTGTACTAGAGAGTTCATCTGATAGTGATGACAAGTGAATATGAAAAATCTTTTTCAGCATACAAAAATTGTTGTAGGGTCATCTTAAAAGATTCTACACCTAATAAAGTGAGTAGCTTAAAAATGGATCATGTATAGAATTTTTTGCATGAAACCATGGGCTTTTATTGAATGCCCATGATGAAACTTTTGAGGAAACCCCTAATGTAAACATTATGATAAAGGACATATTTGAACAATGGTGGGGCTTTGTCAGTGTGGTATATCTACACTGTCTCGATAAAAAATGGGGTTTTGCTAAGAGATGAAATGATCCTTTGATGAAATGAATGCAAAAATCAAATATATATTATGGATAATGTTATTTGATGATGTTAACTGCTAAAGAATAAAAATATTATTATCAACAGTCATTATGTCATTTACAGAAAGCCACTATATATAAAGAAAAAGAGTGCAGCCAATTATAATGTCCCTACAATGTGCATAATGTCATAATTGTATTAAAAGTATTGCTGTTGCTGAAACATTTTCGAATGTCACTTAACTGCTCAAATAAGGATACACAACGATAAATATCATATATACAGTGATTGCTATATTATTTACAAAAAGTAGAAAATGATACATTGAAAATTTAATATAACCAGTACTCTGATACTCAAAAAATGTTCATGCCATATATCCTCGAGTGAGAAAAACATGTACATGGAGATACACATGTTCAATGGTGAAATAATCTGATTAGCCAGTGTGGCATTACACATTTTATCCTATATTTTTACACTGTGTGTAACAGAATCCTATACGCCTTTATGTTGTTAAGTCAAGATTTTCTGTTGAAAACCCATTTAAAACCCCATGTAAGCCCTATATTATTTAGTTGTAAAATACAAAAATATATTCATGACCTCAAATTAAACTGACAACTCGTGGGTACAAACAGGGTGTTCCCAAATACTTGCATATACCAATGTTTGTACGATCCTGAATAAAGATCAAAGAACAATAAATCACATTTGTCATGTTGTTGAATCATAAATCATTCAAACATCTCTAACTAAACTTACCTTGCATTCTTTACTTTAATCTTTGTGAATTTGAGATCTAGATTCTTGAACTTCGAATTCTTGATTTTTAAAATGTTATTGAGTTCTTCAACTCAAGTCTTGGTTTGTAAAAAGTCTAACATGACAGGTTTCACCATTCTACAAAGTCGAGATATCCCATAGTAATTAGTTGTCATGATGGTAATTGTACATTGTGTGTATCCCGGGGTGTGTATCATACTCCTCCAGTTCCATATTGAAATATGAGAGTCCAGATTCCACATAGAACTGATATCACTAAATAAGTCTGTTTTGTCTATTTACAATGACATCATAATAATAATGACACCATAATAGTTGACATCAGTATGGTGACATCTCAGCTTACCAATCCTGGAAAAAATTCAAATGTAAATTTGAATAGGAACACATTCATTACATTTTTGAGATACTTTTAAATTCTAATGCAATAGAAACTGGTGAATTTTAATGAACATTGTTTTTAATTTACAAATAATGAAGAATGAAAATGGAAAAAGGATCCTTGTTGCTTTAGAAACTACAATAGTACACAGTACACTGCACATATATTTTATTGAAATATGAGGAAACTTACCTAAGTAATCATCCATAAGAGATCCTATTGCAAACTGTAAAGAGAAGAATAGAATATAAGGCTGACAGCACATAAATGAAATGCTGATACAGCAGGGGGAGGAGTCTATTTGATGTCCTCTTATGACTTATATCTTATTTTCCTGCGACCAACAGTTAAAATTTACAACAATCCATTTTCATCTAGGAATATGAGCATGAGCTGAATGGCTGGTTGAACCATGTAAGATTTCATTAAGTGTATATCATTGCTTGGAAGTGGTCATGTGAAATTTGAAAGTTGTCACGCTTTCATAAACAGCTAGCTTGCTCCAATTTGTCATTAATGGATTCATAAAATAATTGCTTTCGTAACCATTATTCACTAACACTCCTCCTCAAGAAAGGTGCAAGGGTGAGCTAATACTGTATATACACAACACTCACACTGACACAATGAGGAAGCAACCAGCAGAAGAAATACAACAAGACATTAACATGCAAAATGTCATGCCACCTGCCATTTGTGACAGACATCATCAAACCACCAAATATTGTCCACAAAAGTTATTGAGACCAGAACAATATGTCACCACTCAATAATAATTTTTGGAGGAGAGAATATGCAGAGATCAATCCTCAACAAGGATAATCACTTTAAAATTGAATATAAGATCCCTGAAGTCTAAAAACCTTCTGGCAAAAGCTCTTCAACTTGTATACATGTACTTACTATATCTGCTGCATCAACTCTGGTGCCAACAATCTTAATCCTGATCTCATCATCCTGCTGTATTACAATGTCCTGAAATAAATGAAATGAATTGACTTTATTACATTTCAGTACATATCTCAAGTGCCTGAGTTTCACTAATGTTTTTTGAATTCACAACTTTAAATTTGGAAATTGTGACTAACAATTTTACATTTTTAATTTGTTTGTAATGGTTTCATACCATTTTATGGGAATACAAATCCTTGTATTTGCTCTTTCATATTAATACGTTTATGTAGTTTATTTTTATGTTGGCAAGGCTGTAAAGATTTACAGAACATACCTCATCTTTGGTTTTATAGCACGGGGGGTTTGAGTTAGGGTCAAATTCCATGTCACCAGGAATGGACTAAATAAAAAACAAAATAGAAATAAAAGTTAACAGTTAATAAACAGTGGAATATATGGAATAAAAAGCAATAATTCTTAAAACTTACATTTGGCTCAGGAGGTCTAGACAGCTTCAATACATGTTGGTAATCTTTGCTCTGCTGAGCATTTTTATCAAGATTTAACATTTATGGAAAAAAAAGGTTTGCATCAAAGTCTAAATTTAATTTGATGGTACAAAATGCAGGTAAATTTTTGTGTCTTTTATGACCCGAGATAGTAAAAGGATTAACCTTTTCTAAGATCCACTTCAAATTTTTACTTATTTTTACAATTCACAAAATACAGAATTCATAGTTTACTTACATGTCTTGATATAAAGCAAGAGAGAGGTCCAATCTCTGTAAATAGGCCTACTTTGTTAACTTGAGTGACAACTGCATCCAATACTTCTCCCTTGAATGGCCTAAATACAATAGCCTTATACTTCACTGGGTACACTACAAAACCCCTCCCAGGCTGGATAAGGCCGGCCCCTATGTTGTCAATTGAGGTAACAGCAATAACAAATCCATACCTACAAAATTGTTTTGTACGTTGTTCTATATTTGGTTTGTTAAAGGTCAAACATATAGATTTTTACAGAATCTCTTTGTGTCTACATAATCAGTTTTTTAAATACAGTTAACCTTAAGCCCAGTATACACAAATGGGGCAAAATTCCACTTGGTCCATCCAGTCTTGCCCAATCAAATCCCAACTTGCCCCAACGAATCCCACGGAGTCCCATGGGACCTTGTCCCACGTGGGACTTCATGGGACTCAGTGGGGCAAAATCTGACGGAGTTCCATAAGACTCCATGCAGCAAATTCCCACAAGGATCTGCCTAATGTTCACTGTTCAGTCTATGGAGGTCCCAACTTGCCCTATTTGCAAGAATCAAGTCAGTTTCAAATTTATGGTAATCCCAAAGGTAGAGAGACATGAATGACCTTGGAAACTTATGTCAGCTGCTTTTGCCCAAATCTACCTGTACTTACTTTCCTGAACAAGTTCCTTCTACCTCTGTGAACAACTTCTGTTTAACTGTGGTTAACAAGCTTGGTCCAAAGTACCTTGGATGTAACAGAATCTCATGCTCAAGAGACACCTGAAAATAACATGAAATAAATCAAAGACACTTTGGAGCATCAACCTTTGAAAATCTAAAATAATTTCGTAGATTCACATCCCTTTATTATATGATCATTGTCTGTAATAAACTAAAGAAAAAGAATTAAACCTGGATTATTAAAGGTTTTTTCAAATTCTGTGTCAACTGCCATATTGACAGAAATTCAACTCTAAAAAACTAAAAGATCTTGTTCTGCCTATCAACCGAGACAATTGTGACTTGAACTAAAACAGGAGTTACAGTTCAGAGTGTATTGAGGTACAGTGTGTTATTCTTTGTGAGGTTTACTCACTTCGAGAGCCATGTTAGATTTAGGACTACCTGTTACACAGAGAGACATTGGTTACCACATTGAGAATGGTATTTCTAAAGGTAGAAGGAATTTATATGCTACAGTCGACTGTATAACTCCTGAAAATTGTACTGTAAACCCCCTATCAGCTTCCAAACTGTACTGGGCAGTGTCAATTCCCACTGCTCTTTATGGAGCAGAGGTTCTTGAATACAATGACTCCAGCCTGGGTAAACTAGAACGTTTCCATACTCAAACAGCTAAACATATTCAAGGTTTACCAAAACATACAACAGATTGTGCATCCTTGTCACAGATAGGCTGGTGTGACATCAGTGAAGTTATTGCAATGAAGAAACTCATGTACTTTTGGCATATATTTAACACTTGTGCTGGACAATGTAAAGCTGTGAGTATTGCTAGATGGTACATCCTACTTTTTAAAATATTTATCGTAGGGATGTCAGTGTCTTCGCCTATAGCTGAAATAATCAAACTAGGTACAAGGTTTAATCTCTTAGATAGAATGAAGAGCTATATCGACCAAGGTATATTCCCCAAAAAACATCATTGGAAGAAAATTTCTAAAAATGCTGTATCCAATTACTACATAAATAGATGGCATCTAAAATGCATGATGTATACTAAGATTAAGACGTACAGAGATGTCGTCAATAATCGAGTTCCAATAATATGGTACCAATTATGTAAATATAGGCCTGATCTCATTTTCAAATGTAAGTTTATGGTACGGCTGCTGGTGGGGGAAGCCATTGGGAGGTATGCAGAAGCTAAAGAAAATAGATTGTGTCCTTTATGTGGAGAGTGTGAAACATTAATTCATTTTATAAAGGATTGTACTGAACTTAAGAGTCGTCGATTATTATTAAAACCCCTTATTGACAAATATGGGATGGCGTATTGCCCTTTATCTTCGCTCCAGATGAGCAGGATGACTGTATATTTATTGTTAACACTTTGTATGCGATGTATCAACATCGAACAAACGCCATTTTGTAAATATCATCCCGACCTTGTATTGTTCACCTAAATGTTTGTATATATGTTAACATAAATTAATGTATATTATGATGATCAATTATGGTCGCAATAAAGAAATATATATATATATACAGGGTGGTCCAAAAAAAATTGGAACATTTGTTAATTGAATGCAAAACCTTTATTTTTCTTCTAAAATGCACCAAACTTTTACTGAGCATAGTTCAGTCACTTATTTATCTGATGTAAAGTTTATAGGTGAAAACAACAAAGTTAATGCATTAAACTAGTCAATGTTTGATATGACCCCTCTTCTCCTGACTTACAAGTTGAAGCCTGGGGCTCAGATTTGTAAATATTCAATTAGTTTGCTGTTAGTTTGTTTTGTCCAACCCATCTTAATTAAAAATTTCAGCTTGATCAAACTTCCTATTTGTTTGCCTTGGAAGATCAAATCTAGTAGCATATTCAACATTTTTTACCCAAATTCATGGGATCAAGCATATTTTGATGGCTATTGTTGGGTGTATTACTGATTGAATATTCTCCAGAAAGAGGCCAGGGCAGTCTGATTTGACTGGTAAATGAAGCCCCTTCCCCTTTATTGTTCTGATATGAATAATAGTCATTGGGAATATCAATATGTCTATCAATATCATAGAGGAGTCTCCCAGAACACAAATGGTATATATATTATACACTATATATGTGCTAAGCATTGGTTTTAATAAAACTTTGTGAATAACTGGTCAGTTTTGCCTTTACTGAAAAGTGGGAACAATTCTTTTGTCACTTGAGTAGATGTGAGGCTTATGCAATCGCACACCTCTGACATGTTCCTTCTTCCCTACTCTTAAATGAAAATGATCATTTTGGGTATTGTTTAAGTTAACACAATATTTTTCTGGCAACCCCCAGATGTGAATACCATTTGTCAACTGAATATGATTTTATAAAATATTTATACCAATTAACATGTGCATTAAAGCTTTGAAATAAATAATACTTGAAAAAGTAGCCGCGGAATTGACAAGTGTATATTTAAGAAAAGGGGGTCCTATCAAAGATTGACTAGTTAAATGCGTTAACTTTGTGGTTTTCACCTATAAACTTTACATCAGATAAATAAGTGATTGAACTATGGTCAGTAAAAGTTTGGTATATTTTAGAAGAAAAATAAAGGTTTTGCGTTCAATTAACAAATGTTCCAATTTTTTTTGGACCACCCTGTATATATAAAACTTATGGCTCTCAAACGGGGAAGTGAACAGCTGATTAATAGTGACCTTTGAAATCGAATTAAGTCGATCCGCGGCTTACTTTTGGTTTCTAACTGTGTCTTACATCATCAATCCGTGTAAGTATTGGAGCGCTGAAGTACTTCCTTTTCGATCAAGATTTGTAATTGTTAGTCGAGTGAATGTTTTTACTGCCAAATTCCAATATGGCGTTTTCTGCTCGGACAATTTCGTAAATCTCCGGAGGTTGTCCGAACATAACTAATTCTCAAAAGTCATTTCGTTCGTTGCGTATCTCGCTCCTAGCAAACCGCCATATTGGAAATAGGTCTAAAAAACATTCACTTGATGAACAATTTACAAGTATTTCAGCGCTCTAATACTTACACGGATTGATGATACTGATGTTTATCCCGTTCCATGACTATAGTCCTGTAAAATGGATTTGTTTCCGGTAAGAGGGAATTTCGAAAATTTCGGACAATATTTTCAATATTTACTGCCATGTCGACATCCTATGCTCTTAACTGTATACCGAATGGTTAAACAATGTTTCTTACCGGAAACAAATCCATTTAAACACGGAAGTGACGTAACGAAATACCAAGTTCGTGCTATTACGGAAAAGTTCGGGAAATTCCGTTATAACCGCCATTTTAATCGAACTTCGACCAAAAGAGCCATAAGAAACAAAAAGACCTCGTTCTGCCAACTAACCCAGACAATCGGCGGTTCCAATATATTAGAAATTACATTTTGAGTTCTAGAATGCATTGAGGTAGGTTTCTTAAGTGGAAGGGGCGTAGATAATTCTCCCAAGTTGTAATCGTACAGGCAAATGTATGCGCTCAGTACAGGACCATAGGTCCTGGAACGGGATAAACTGATGTAAGATACAGTTAGAGACCAAAAGTAAGCCGCGGATCGACTTAATTCGATTTCAAAGGTCACAATCATTCAGCTGTCCAAATGCTCCGTGGGAAAGCTATTATATCAAAATCCAAATAGCTTTGGCAGGAAGTAATGTGAGGTGTGGTGTGACCGAACTGAATAAATGGAAAAAGTATACATAGGAGTCCTGGAAGTGGATAATATGGTGAATTATCAAAATTATTGTATTGCCTTTCTCTCCCTCTCAAGTTCAATACGTAGTGCCCGTGACGTAGGATATAGTCCTGAGTAAGGACACTAGCGGTTACGGTTAGTGATTTGGTTTTCTGTATTAAAAACACTGTGGTATGTTGCACTAGGCTTGGATACTAGTCGTTAATAAGATACAGGGTAAAATGTTATAATGGCCACCTATGGGAAACTCTTCTGTAGTCTCCAACCGTAGTGTTTACCACTTGGAAATTATTCAAAAATTAAAGGTGGGCGATAATATGTTTTCTTTCTTGTGTTCAATTTTTCGGTCCATTTTTAGTAAAGAATCGTCCTCAAATTAATTCATATAATATGTTATTTCGTTTCTTGAATAACTAAATCAACTGAAATTTCACTTACATGGTAAAACATGGTCTCAAGTCCGACAAAATAACCACTTTTGTTATTCACTTTTTCAAACTCCGAAAATGCTTTCTTGGCTACCACTGTAAGCGCAACGTATTTCCTAAACGGAAAGTAAACTGTAAAATAATTCAAAATCAACAATATAGATTAAAATAAGAGATAACTGGTAACATTTATATTATCAAACATAAAATACATGCTAAGATAGTAACAACTTCAATAGTTTTTAAAGTTAAACAAAATCTTATTAAATTTCGAAAATCTTGATAGTTTGTCATTTATACGAATTTCTAGAAAATTCGCACATTTTCCAGAAAGTTCACTATGTCCAACCAAGAAAAGGTAAGTTATTGATAAATAAATTATTTCAAGTACTCATTTTGCTAATCTTTATAGGCCTATATAGCAGCTGGTCCCAACTGTGTGTGATGAATGATAACAATTTAAGTTTTATTAATGATTTCGACTTCTAGGGCTAAAAATCCAACATTCACAATGTGATTGTCAATGATCAATCAATGATTGTCAATCAATGATTGTCATTGTCAGTGTCATGTAGTGTCCATGCGTGAATGTGATTTTCTAGACCAACAAGATAAAAGATAATCAAGTGAATATGTCACAAGAAAAATACAAAGGCAATACGAGTGGTTCACAGTATTATAGGAAGTAAGGTGAAAGTAGCGCTGGGCTTCAGTGCTGGTATTGAAATCGGGTGCTGGATGCCGTGTGATGACAATAGCATAAGAAAATGCCATACCTTACATTTACCATATTCTATGGCCACTGATTGTGGCCGTACAATATAAATAAGACTCTCTTTGTTGTTTTGAATTTGCCTTTAACTTGCCGAGCCGTCTTATTTTTATTGATGTAAACATAATAAACTCACCTTCATTGATCTTTACACGCAGTCCTATTTCATAAATTAGTACTTCGCAGGATATTTATTCACAAAAGAATTAAAACAAAACTGAAGGAAATTTTTACAAGCGGCAATCTTGACTAAATCGCTATAGCGGAAAAAAGGCATGCTTTCAAAATGGAGAACGAGTCGACGTCTATTTTAAATGAAAACGTTCAATATCTCATCAACAAGACAAGCCGTTACCATTTCAATTCATGATATATTAACAGAACGATTTTTAGAAAATTACATAAATTTATTGAACGACGGCTTAAGATTTAACAATAGTTCACGGTGTTCCAGATGGAATCACTTCTAGCCAAGAATTGGCTAGAGACTCGAGTAACCTTACATCTCCCTTAATTCAAATGGCCCCGGCCATCTTTAGCCTTGTTTGATAACTGGTTTCTTTATATAATTCTGCAAAATGGCACGAAATCAAATCCTTGCTGTAGTGAACACCTACCAACAGTGAACATTTTTTTCTTGGGGAAAAAATGTTCACTATACACAGGTTTTACTCGACATGTAGTTGTAGGGGTGATTTGAAAAATGATAATTCCAGAAGTGTCATTGTAACTGAGGGACAGCTATACTAGATGTATAATACTATAAACACGTAGAATACACCATAGGTCTGTAAAATCATTAACTTAGGGTTATCATGTCATCTAAGTTTTACATGTTTCTGTTTTCAAGGCTGAGGCCCTAAAGGGTCAGGGTAACAAAGCTCTCCAAGCAGGGAATATTGATGACGCTATAAAATGTTATACAGATGCGATAGCCTTAGATGGTAGTAACCATGTCCTATTCAGTAACAGATCTGCAGCTTACGCCAAATCAGGCAAATACCAGGAATCGTTGGCTGATGCAGAAAAAACTGTAGAAATTAAACCAGATTGGCCAAAGGTATGGCTATTTTAATGTATATTTATACTTTTATTTCAATTCATGACAAATAAATGAATACATGTTAGCATCATTTCAATGTATAATTTATAATAATGTTCAATAATAATGGTCAGTTGTGCACTTTGTGTTCACAGAAGTTTGATTCTTGTCACACGGACCAGAGATCACGATTTTGAAAAGAGACTTGAATTCACTCAAAAAGGAAAATGATCATGAAAAAGCATGTTTGTCCAATCCTGGGACAGAATTATGAAAATGTCACCCAGTTGTGTCAACCTGTTAAAACCTCATAATAGAGAGATCACTTGAAATGTTCATTGAACCAATCAGTATCATTAAGATTCAAGTTGTATGCCACTATTATTTATTTATAGTTTTTATCTATTTTATTACAACTGTGTCATAGGGCTACTCCAGACTAGGGGCAGCATTAGGGTTTCTCAACAGACATGAGGAAGCTCTTGAGGCTTATGAAGAAGGCCTCAAACATGACCCAAATAATGCACAGCTAAAAGATGGGAAAAAGGAAGCAAAGGATAAACTTGTCGGTACGGAAATAGATACATAATATTGCATCAACTAACATCGAGAAGTACACAATTTTTTTAATACCATTTTTACATACCGAGTATGGTTGACTGAAATATATAAATAAAAATAATTTTCTCTTTAAAGTACATTGTGTCTTTTTGTGTATTTTTGAGGATTTTTAGTAAATATTTTAGATCATTTAACAGGTACTGGTCATCAAAAAGTATTTGAAGCAGTACATTTTGTACTGAAATAGAATACATTCATACATCAAGTTACTGCATTCATTTGTAGGGCCAGCTGGCAGTCAGCCCATCAACAACCCATTCAATGATCCTACTATGTACGCTAAACTATCTACTGATCCCAGAACCAAGGATCTTATGAAAGACCCAAGCTTCATGACAATACTTAATGCTCTCCAGACTGATCCCAAGGCCTTAGGGTGAGTCTATTTTGTAATGATTACATTTATTCATTTAGGTCCCAAAACAAGTCCATTCTCTGGGCCTGATGTTATAGCTAAGTTGAAAACTGATTCACGAACTGAGGAGTTGCTCAAAGATCCTGGATTTCTAGCTATTTTGAAAGATTTGCAAAATAACCCAAGGAATTTGCAGTAAGTAAAGTGTGCCACAGTCAGGAAACTAAATGTTGTAATTGTAATTGAAGGTTAAGATGTATTATCTTCAATCTCCAGTATTCACTTGCAATATACATTCCCTATATTATTTTATCAAGGCTATGTGTTGTTAAAACTGTGTCACCTAAGAATACTTCCTTGAGTGTGAATGCCATAATTGTACTAAAACTTCCACTGCTTGGCTTACAATGATGTGAATTGTGTGATACACAGATACAGTTACAGAATTCCACATTAATTATCTTAAAATTGTTCATGTAGAATGTACCTGCAAGACAAAAGAGTAATGACTGCCCTTGGAGTGTTGCTAGGGGTGGACCTCCAGGGTGCAGAGCCCCCTAGTGACCCAACACCTGAACCACCCAAACCTCAACCAAAGAAACAAGAGAAGAAAGAGGAAAAAATGGAAGTTGACTTAACTGAAGATCAAACCAAGGTATGAAGTTATATGAAAAAATATTACAAAATGTTTGAAATTGCTTTACAGAATTCACATCACAACCAAACATGAAGCCTTATTCATATTATGTTACCTTCTTATGTTATAAATGATAAAATAGCAAAATATAAAGCCTATAATCTGATCTTTATTTGATATGAATTTTATCAGTTTATTTTTTCCCTTCGAAATTTACTTTTTAGACCATAAATACCCATTATTTATTGGACATGTCCAACCAAGTTTTGATTTTCCTGTCCTTAATTTCAAAAATTTGTGTTGTACCTATAAGGTACTGTGTTTTAATCAGCTTGGCATTCATCCATATAATTTTTTCAGGCTCTAGAAGAAAAAGCTCTAGGGAACGAGGCTTACAAGAAGAAAGACTTTGATACTGCACACACTCATTACGATAATGCGATCAAACTAGATGCAACAAATATGTCATTCCTAACAAATAAAGCAGGTAAATATGAACTCAGCGCCCTTAGAAAAAGCTATACAGTGTGTCCCATAAAAAACGCAACAAACAAAAACATTGTAAAATCACAAAACCAGTGATGATAACATCAATTTGATTTAGTTTACCAGGAAGCCACATGTCTCCTCTTTCCAATGGTATGTCAGTTATTCATATAAAACCATGGACCACTGAATAATCATTCCTTTTGCACAACGTGCCAAAATCTGCTCTGGGCCAAGTTTTAGACATTGCAACAAAGAGTCACCAATGAGGTTGCTGCCCTCCGCCAGAACCCCAGATGATTCAAAGAGGTGTGCGACATGGACACAAAGGCCAGTCTCAGTGTTAAATAGTGGTCATGCGAAAGGGCATGGAATGTAATCTTTCATAAGTAATCTTTCATAAGATGACAGACAACGACTGTCTATGCCACTTTTTTCCATATGTCTTGCATTTTGTTACCTGAACCAACAAGAATACTGATGAATACTTAAAGTTAAATTTTCTTTTCATTTTTTCTTACTAAATCTAAATCAGAAACTTGTGTTATGTAAATTTTGTGACAAAAATTTAATCCCCAGTACCAATTACATAATGATTTACCTGATTGCACAATTAAGGATCAGTTGATTGATATTTCATTACTTGGCACAAAGGCCTTTTCACCCATGTACGAAAAAACAATGATTTTCAGTGGTCCATGATCAGATATGAACAAATAACATACCATTGTAAAGGGGAGACACGTGGCTTCATGATAAACTAAATGAAATTGATGTAATCATCACTGGTTTTGTGATTTTACAATGTTTTTGTTTGTTGCGTTTTTTATGGGACACACTGTATGTCTCAAGAAAATAATGATTGTATGTTCCTTTTTTGCCTTGGCCCATTGATTTGCAGAATCTTGTTAAGAAGTAAATATATGCTGAACATGTACATGGAAATAAAAGTATGTTGTATCTATACATCAAAGTTTTGTGTAAATATCTTACCAAGATTCATTCTTTATTTTTTTCTTATTTTTTTTAAATTTATTTATACCAGTTTGATTAAAATTATTTTGAATAGCCACTGATCCTACTTCACAAATTCTCTGCTAAATGAACAGTAATTCTGTACATATATGCAACAAAATATTTTTTTTTCTATTTGTCAGCTGTGTACTTTGAACAAAAGAACTATGACAGTTGTATAGAGACATGCCAAAAAGCCATAGATGTGGGCAGAGATAACAAAGCTGATTTCAAACTCATTGCCAAGTAAGTACATCACAATCCACTCCTCCCATTGTTTAATTATAAGTCACTTTCAAGCACTTTAGAGGGAGAAAGATTTTAAGCTATCTTTTTCAAGAAAAAGAAAATTTCTGCGGATGAGCTAGTTGGTGTCATATAAATCTTAACATCAAATTTTTACCGATACATGCACAGACCGGTGCAGATACAAGCACAGACTGGTGCAGATACAAGCGCAGACTTGTGTCAAAAAGTTTTGGCCATGCTTGGTAAATTGCGTGGTGGCCATTTTTGTTAAGTGTGATCATTACTGTTTGACTTATTAGTAAAATATAGATTTTGCTGACACCAAGCTTTATTGTTCACTGTGGTTTTGTAATATTGTCTTATTTTAGAGCCTTGGCTAGAATTGGCAACTCCTACATGAAGAAGGATGATGTTCCTCAAGCATTAGTGTTCATCAACAAATCACTCTCAGAATACAGAGATCCACAACTTGTTAAAAGAGTAAAAGAGGTAAAGTTCTATACATGCCCTATTGCATTATACAGTTAACTTGGTGCATGGCTGTATAGTAGTCATAACAGAAAATAGTAAACTAAATGTATCATACAGGGTGAGCCAAAAATCATATGAAAAGTTAAATATATCATACAGGGGGAGCCAAAAAATCATATGGAAAGTTAAATATTCATACAGGGTGAGCCAAAAAATCATGGGAAAAGTTAAATGTAGCATACAGGGCGAGCAAAAAAATCATGCGAAAAGTTAAATGTATCATACAGGGTGAGCCACAAAATCATGGAAAAAAGTTATATTCTCAATAAAATAGTGAATTTTATATCCAAAGGAAATTGTGATGTCACTTGCATTGTTTCCACATGTTTGACAAAATCTTGAATGGACTGTTTGTAATGTTAAAAAGAATATTTAGATGTTTTAAGCAATAAACTGTTTGGTGTCATTTTTACAGATTGAAAGGGTACAAAAAGAGAAAGAAAGATTAGCATACATCAATCCAGAAATTTCTCAAGAAGAAAAAGATAAGGGAAATGATGCTTTTAAAAACGGTAAGTGATGATTGATTTTGAGCTCAAAGAGGGTTCATTTACTGATTTAAAAATCTTTCAGAGTTTGTTAGAATTAAACCTTTTAGCATGAATGACTCTTAGTAAAATAAATCTTGGATGCCAGGTCATATATCTAATGCTAAAAAAACGTTTGAATTCAAAGTTTCTGTAATGCCTATATAATGCATTTCAATATGACACAATTGGCAATTGTCTTGGCCCCTGAATATGCATTCAATAAAAATATTTATCCTATGCCAAGTAGAATTTTAGGCAGATAAGTTGGTAAAATATATCCCGTATCCTGATTTTGAGGTTTACACATCCAGAACCTCCATATCTCCCGCCATATCTCCCGCTTCGGTGCACATATTCCCACTTCCGGTGCATATCTTCCCACTTCCGGTGCATATCTTCCCGCTTCCGGTGCATATCTTCCCGCTTCTGGTAATGCAATAAAATGACTTTGCATATGAATGATTTGTTTATTTTTACACCTTGAACTATTGAAATGGCCATATGCCCCTGGGAACTCTACTTGGTATAGGATAAAGCAGTTATGTACGGTCTCGTGAGATATGCACATCTACCTTCGGTCCCTACGATGCATATCTCCCTCTGGATAAACCCCATATCCAAAACCTCCCAGTACATAACCCTTATATATCCCTCAATGTAGGTAATTACCCAGTAGCACTAAAGCATTACAGCGAAGCAATCAAGCGGAACCCAGATGATGCGAAGGTCTATAGTAACAGGGCAGCCTGCTACAACAAACTCATGGAATTTGGATTGGCACTGAAGGATTGTGAAACATGTATTAAGCTAGATCCAACATGGGGTGAGTGTCTCAAAATGAAGAATAATTATATCTAAAGTGAAATCTATGTATGGTTGCACACATTTACTGTGGCATTAGGGATTGGATATATCATGGTCTATTGAATGCCCATGGATATATTGATTATACAACAAACATACACACATCAGTCCAGACTTGACGATCATTTAATATTATTAAATCGTTGATTTATATTAAATCTGAGACTCATGTTACATGATATTTTGAAGAATTTACCAGACTACTATTGTGTTGAGAGAAAAAGCTCATCCATGTGAACTTGTGATTTCTGTTAGTCATATAACTAGTATTTTTATCACACTTTAAAAAAGTGCTATATTGCCGTTGTCTTGTTTATTGTATTTCTGGATACAATACATTGACGACAAAGTCATAGCCTACATTTGTTTTAATCTGTTCCAATAATACTGTTACAGTGAAGGGCTACCTGAGGAAGGCAGGATGCCTCCTAGCAATGAAGGACACGGTCAAGGCTGGCGAAGTCTACCAGAAAGCAATGGAAATAGACCCCAACTGTCAGGTAAGAACCTTTAAATGTAACACATCCTTTGCTGATATCTCATATTAGGCAATATAAATCACATGCAATTGGTGAACATGTAATTTATCTTTTACTTAGCATGTTTTCACAAAAAACAACACATTTGGTGAGGGAATCTGAGGTTTGAATTAGGGACCAATCTGGGAATTTTGATTTGAAAATATTTCGGCAAGCCTGTAATAGAGGGCTGGGTTAGTGTTACTTTCTGGTGGGATCAAGGGTACTGTACATATACATTTATGTACTTACAGGAAGCCATTGATGGCTATAGAAATGCTATAATGTCCAACGATGATGATCCTGAGGCAATAAAGAAACGTGCCATGAATGACCCAGAGGTACAGGACATCCTCAGTAACCCAAGCATGCGAGTTATTCTTGAACAGATGCAGAAAGACCCAGGTGCATTGAAAGAGTAAGTACTGTTGAAATTATGTTCAAATACTCAACAAGTTCTTTTGTTCTTGTTCTTAATATTGATCTCAGAAATCATCTGTTCTATTTGTATTCTTTGTAAATTTCCAAGCGATGAATATGATTTTTAGTGTCAAGACTAGCCTAATACAAACAAACTTAATTACGAGTGTTTTTATGTCAACCTGAACATTTTCATGTATAGAATGCTGTAGCACATTGAAACCTGAACAAAGTACTTTTGACAATTTAGAACTGTTCACTCCAGCAGTGTGTTCAATTAAGACGTGTGTTCCCATTTAGAGGTTAAATGTGAATCTTGTCGTTAAATTAGTGCATTTTCTTTTTTCAGGCATTTACAAAATCCAGAAGTAGCAGGCAAGATACAAAAACTAATGAGTGCTGGACTTATTGCAATTCGCTGATGAAACGTTACTCAGGACCAAATATTCTCATTTAACTCCACAAAGACAAATTTCAAGATAAACAGTTCAACTTCAAATGTGAGAGTGCTGATATCTCATCAGATGAAGGCTATGAATCTTCAACTGGTGTATGTGATACTGAACTGGATATTGACATCATTATTATTTCATGAAAAGTTCTTGATGTCCAGTTATCAACAAAAGTTCTTGATGTCCAGTTATCAACAAAAGTTCTTGATGTCCAGTTATCAACAAAATTTCTTGATGTCCAGTTATCAACAAAAGTTCTTGATGTCCAGTTATCAACAAAAGTTCTTAATGTCCAGTTATCAACAGTTGTTGAAAAAATCAGTTATATTGGATGATTATGTAAGCATAGCGTATTTGCATTGCTTTATAAATGAACCAGGCTATCAGTGGTCTACTCACAGTTATTTAGGTGCCAGTAGTTGCACCACCATGTGATAAGGGTGGGTAAGAAAAACAGGTCAGAGCACATAGAAAGATCCCATATGTCTGCTTTTGAGTATAATAGATTCAATGGTCCAATTATGCTTTAATATAATTGAAGAATCTTCCTGACCTAAAGATCAAAATTTGTAGAGTTCAAGATGATATCAATTTCTCTGGATTACAGGAAAATCAAGTTTACTTCTACTGGCATCTAGTCTATTCCAACATTCACATAGCCTACATCTTTATCATAAACTGTACAGTATTGTGTTTGTCAAGTTGCCAAAAGTGTGAATGGCCAAAAGCGAATTGTCAAAAGTGAACTGTATGGTGTTGCAGCAAAATATTCTGTCCAATTAAATGTTTTTTACAAAGTGCATGCCTAGGATTCAAACTCGTGCAAAATGAAATAAAGTCTGTGAATTGCAACTGTGAATTACGAAATATGTTATTTCCAAGAAAATGAATAAGTAATAAAATTACAATTGAAACTTTAATTTTATTATTTGTATTTTTTCCTGAGTGACCCTGGACATTGTAATAAGGAAAGTGTTTTCCTCTGATATTCAGCTCATTGGAGTGTTAGTAATCTCCTTTGGACAGCCTTCTTTATTATCCATTATACGCTGTTTCACCCAGTGGATGGAATACTGAAAGAACTTTCTGTTTAATGCCCATGACTGTTCTGAAGGAGAAAACAGAGTGCGTTTTACCTTACTTATAACTATAAACCCTGTCTTACTGTCTCAGAATCTCCAGTAGGTCGGAATCAAAAGCCAATATACCTTTCTGGTGAACCCAGGTGAGCTATGTCACATTTTGCTACATTGAAAAAGCTTTGATTTATTGGCTAGATCAGTGATGTCATAGGTTGTACTTTTCAAAATGAGCAATAATCTAATGCAGTTGCTATAGGTCTAAGTTTATCCCATTTTAACGGGATGAATTGCAACAACCTATGATATTATTGTTCTAACATTCCACCAGTTCAGACTTTATTTTTATGACAGGATAATTTTAAGGTTATAGTTCAAAATATTTGAAAAATCAAAATGATTTCCTTCATTACTGATTAGATCAGATATCAAAATTCTTTTTTTCTGAAAATAGGGTTGTAAAGGCAACAGTTCATGATTTCGACAATTTACACTATCTATTCTTTAGGCTTAGTGAGTTCATTGCAGCCTTCAGTTGATAAAGCTTGAGAAGTCCCTTGAGTTAAATTGAATTCATAGGGTTCACTGTGATTATGTTCATTGGAGAAGATACATGTATGTGACTCAGAGAATGTACTCAAATCTAACAAAATAAGTTCATATCTTTAGTAACACTAGCAATTTATTTTTACTAACAGCAATAAACAATAGGCTTATATGGATCATATTTCAAACATGACAAGGGTACAATGTACAAACTTCTTTAGTTGTGGAATCAACAACTAAATTTAGGCTTACAGTCGAGGAATACAATTTAACCTGTATCCCCATACCAGAGGATATACTAGATAGTATTACCAAAGTCTAAAAATGTTGACAGAGGTAGACTGGTTAAATTATATACCTTTGTTTGACCAATCAGGACATTAAGTATTCAAGCTGAAACAGCTTTGACTGCCAAAAAAAACATGAATATTACAGCATCTTTTTCATTATTCATGAACAATATGTGGTAACATTATAACATTTTCATATTTGATTACATTTGGTGTTACTGTAACTGTATTTGCATAGGTGCATAGAATTTGCCTTAACAAATATCTTTCAATATACAGACCCATAATGTTTTTCATAAAAGGCACTAACATGCAAAATGTCACCACCTGCCATTTCTTACAAATGTCAACCACAAACTGCCGAATGCCATCAACAAAGTTGGAGACTGTAACAATATGCCACCACTTCTGGTGTTGACATAAAAAGTAAACAGGGAGATTTGCAACTCTCTCTAACAAAGATCTCAAAGTCCTTAACTTTGTACATTTTTTCACCCTTTGTTGGTCCATTCTCCAAATGCAGGGGTTCCACTTAGTTCTATCTGGACCCTTGAATTTTGAGGATGGCAGTTGCACTGGGCTTGCACAAGGTTCATTTACTACAATGTTAGCTGTATTAAATACACATTTAAAACATCTTTCAACACAACCATATAGTTCATGTACCATGAAGGCCCATTGTTAAATAACATATTTGGTTCATAACAGTATTCAGCTGACTGAATATGCTTAAATAAATTTGTGCTTTCAAAACAAATCATATAAAATACATTTATTCAAAGATTATTGAGCTATCTTTACAATAACACCCAGTGATATTTTTTATGATATTATGGAGATTGGTGTGATATTTTTCAGAAAATTGTTTATCAGCTTCATATGCGGCTAATATCATTTATCAGGCACAAATACATATGATAAATGAATTTGAATTTTTGATTATAATCATGGTATTGAACTCAATATCAGATCATTTCTAGTGATATCATTTTATTGCCTTTTCAATTTCAAATACCAACAACTTGTTGATAAAAATGATATCACTCAAAATCATCTGATATTCAGTGCATGTACACATGTAATTATATTACATCTAAAATTGCATGTTTGCTTTAATTCTGAATTCAACAAGATTAATCACAAAATGATGAATACAATCTATCAGACAGCAGTGTATACCTTAATATAAAAGTACTATTGTACTTCACGTAATTTACCAAAAAGTACAAAATAACTGCTGCACAGAAAAGGAAAATGCCTTTTTTTATTATATTTTTATTATATTGTATAGGGTGTCCATAAAGTCTACAATTTCAAATGTCTGTGTTAAGTGTAGAGACTTCATGGACATCCTGTATATTACACTACTTTCATTATTTTTATATAGAGCACACCAAAATGTTTTCCAATATTATGAGAAACTTCATTCATTCATACAATATTTACTTGGTAAAATATGATTGGATAATGATAGTGATTTAGTATTGAACTTGTCCAGAAATATCACTAGTCTGCCAGTGAGATACAAAGATTTTATATAGTTCAAATGGGACCTATTCCGAATCTGAGAATTTTTTTCAAAGATCATTCAAAATCAAAATCACATGCAAAAATATATGAAAACTCTAATAGGAGACAGTCACTGGTTGGCAGGAATGATGTTTCGTTATGGTTTATATGTGACCATATTTTCACTCAATCTTAACACTCAAATGTATTCATAACTCGCTATGTATTCATGACTTTCACATAGATTTTACATATGTCCATATTTATATGTCTATATTTTATAACTTTCCCATGTCTCCATGGCTTACAGGCTTACGCAAATCCTTGAGTATGCGTATGACCTATGAATTTCACACTCTTTCTACATGAGCTGTTCATGTTTCTTGGACTTCACAATTTCCAAGATGTAATATTAATCAACAACTTCACATGTTTTTGAACACTCATTGCACATTCCCATGACCTGAATTCACGGTGGGCTACGTTTGTAACAATAAGGCACCTTATCGATCCTTTCAACTATAAAATCCTCATTTCACAATATCAAATGAAGTAAATCCTAGCTGATCAATGGCTTTCTCATTGGTGAACTCACACTTGTCAATTCGTGATCTCTTGCTGCCTTTAGTCTTAAGCCAAGTCTTCCTGTCAAGTAGAAAACATACACTAACTGTTACAATGTGGAGTGAGTAAAATTCCATTATGGTTATGATGATTCAACATCCATATGTTAAGTTTAAGAGCTATTTTAGCACTCTAATATTCTGAGCCTTATTCTGCCTTGCAGATTCCATGTTGCAAGATACTGATGATTATATTGTAATAGCTATTGCACTTTGGACATAAAATGGCAGTTTATTTGATCCTGATAAAATATTGTTTATTCCAAATAACTTTATGTGCAGTGATTATTAGTTTGTAGTGATCATAGTTTTTTTAGTAGTAGTTAGTCGAGAATCTAGTGTCATAGACTACAAAGCAATCATGTTTTTCATTCGTTCACTATGTGTGTGCAGAATAGGAAGCACTCTTATGTTTGAAGCACACCAGTATCTAAAGCACACCAATTTTGAAGCACATCAATACTTGTAATAACTATAAGGAATCGCGCTAGAGAGCTGAGAGTTTTCTAACACTTTGAAGCTTTTGAATTCAAGGATTGGGATAGTTTTATCATTTGTAAATATGCATTTGTCTATGATGGAGTCTGGACTTCCTACATTTTGAAGCCAATGTCTCCTGAAAATATATGTATGACATTGATAAAACAAGGCATAAACATGTAAAATGTCACTACCTGTAATTTGTTACAGACTTCGAAAGCTGTTACAGACAACGAATATCAACCACCAAATACAGGCCACAAAAAATTGGAGACTATAACAATACTATGTCACCATTTCTGGTGCAATCAATCAAATACCATGAAATGGTGAGGAAACATGAGTCACAAGGTGATTAATACTTAAACAAAAGAATAATAATACTGTATACAGCTGTATATTTTTGAATAAAAAAACTACTGAAACCATTGTTAACTGAAGAAAACATAAAATCAATCATAAAATACCTAATTGAAAAAATGAAGATTTTGGTAGTTGGTTAGTTGATTTTGCTGAAAATGCAAATAAAGAGATGATGAGAAAGATAGAGGTTATAAACAGTGTGGGTTGAAAATGTCAAATTAAGAGAAAAAAAAGAAAAAATTAAAATGCTGTAAATAATCAAATTACTCAAGGGGCGAGGAGGAAAATTCTCAATAAATGGTGTATAGTTGGTTTGGCAGCATTTTTAGTTAGGGGAGAGTCTTGGATGAAACTTCCACCTAGGTGATAGCTTCACAGAGTGGTAGGAAGTTCTTTTTTTTGAGGAGTTAGCCCCCCACCCCCAAAAAACACCCCACCCGGGGAAAAAAATTGTTCACAGTAAATAACCTTAGATATTTTGATGTTTGTAAGTGACATACATAGATATTACATATATGAATCACTTGCAGTATAATTGATGCTGATTGCTCCTAAAGAAATTGAATATTAGTACAAAGTGTGTATCCCAGGGGGCAAATTTGTGACTCATTTTCTTACTATTTTGATCCTAACTTTTCAATTAGACACTGTAAGAGGTTGAAAAAATTCATTGGAAGTGCCCAATAGCAAGGTTAGTAAAACTGAAAGTTGCAAAACCATTGAAAAGGTAGGAGCTGAGAAAAAAATTGTTGATTTTTCGAAAAATTTGACATTTTTGACAGTTGGATTTTGTGTATGACTATAGCTGACCCCTATAGTTTCTAGATCCATCCCTCTATAATGATATTTATGGTTTTATAGTGTGGAACTAAGATGTTAAACATAATTTAGATGGGTTTTAAGGAAGTTAAAGGTTTTAAACAAGTCCAAAATTTGAAAAATTGTAAATATAAGGTTTCAAATTTACATATTCCAGGTATAGCCATGGCTGACCCCTATAGTTTCTAGATCCATCCCTCTGTGATGGTATTTATGGTTTTGCCATGTGGAACTAATATGTAAAACACAATTTAGATGGGTTTTAAGAAAGTTTAAGGTTTTAAACAAGTCCAAAATTTGAAAAATTGTAAATATAAGGTTTCAAATTTACGAATTTCAGGTATAGCCACGGCTGACCCTTATGATTTTTACATCCATACCACTATGATTAAATATACAGTTTTAGAGTGTGGGACTAAAATTTAACATATCCAAAATGAATTTTAAGGAAGTTTAAGGTTTTAAACAAGTCCAAAATTTGAAGTATTGTAAATGTTAGGTTTCAAATTTATGAATTTCAGGTATAGCCAAAGATGACCCTTATGGTTTTTACATCTATACCTCAGGGATGAAATATATAGTTTAAGTGTATTTAACTAAAATGTAAAAGATACCTAAGATGAGTTTGAAGGAAGTTCAAGGTTTTAAACAAGTGCAAAATTTGAAAAATTGATCTCAAAATTGGTCTCAAATTCACGTTATTCAGGTACAGCCTTGAATGAGCCCTGATAATTGAAGGTTATGAGCATAATAGTATCAACTATGATATCATAGCTTAGAGACCAGGTGTAGAATATATACCTGTTGCAGCAGTTAGTCTGCTGCATATAGATGGATTGAAACGTCGTGAACTACAGTAAAATCTCTCTAATCTGAATGCTACTGGTATTTGGACCAGCTAAAAGCATTCTAATTAGGAGTGTTTGAATTTTGAGGTTTTTACATCTACAATACAAGTTCTGGATTTTGAAGAAATATGAATGCATTCTCAATGAAAAATATTAATAATATTTATACTGACCACATAAAAAGCTTAATAGCATTCCAAAATTCAATTCAACAGTTTTGATATCATAACAATTCAGTGTTAAACTGACAATATTTGAGCAATTTTGTAAGAAATATGTGATATTTGGTAAAAAGAGTTCAAGTTAGACAGGTTAATTTTTCAATTAGATATGATGACTGGTAGGTATTCACAATAGTCAGATGTTGGGATATACAGGTTTCACTGATGATATATCATTTATACAAGATGATGAACTAGAACTACTGTACTAGGTACATTTGATAATTTTTACCACAATGTTAATACTATGTCAGGAAAAGAAAGCACCCATGACACTTTGCTTGTACAACTTGAAAATCAACAACACTTTAAGATTTCATAAGGTGTCTACCAAATGAGTAATCCACATAAATTCAAATACAAGCACTTGGCATGCTATTCCCTATGATGCTATTTATAGATTTTTTGTCAATGTTATTGATCAGCTTATTGGTTTCAGTTACACTTTAGGGGGGGGGGGATTTATTAACCTCTCACCCCCTTAGGAACTCTAGGGTAAGGTCCTCAACTCTAAGGATTTTTCTTTTAACAATACTTGTAACATGGATCAAACCTGACCACAATATTTTCAACATCTAATTTCTAAGCTAAAAAGTCTTACATTCAAAAAAGAGACATCCAAGGCAATACCTGAAATCGAAAAGGAGGACTGAAAGTATCACAACAGATTTAGGATAGTCACATGTTGGATTTTTGCTATTTTCTGAGGATTTGAGGAGGTGCATATGTTAGGCCAATGCATTTCCTCCAGGAAAAGCACTCATAGAGATGATAAAATAATTTCTATTTGAGACAGCATGCAAACAACCCACCCACATGCATCAATATGTTGTGTTTTGACACACAGTTAACCCCTTTAAAGAAACCAGAACAACGGCAACGCCAAAGCGTAGCGAATCCCGTCGAACATTTTTCAAAACGGGCACCTTCTACCAAAAGTGTCATTAGACAGTGTGCCATGCTTATAATATTCACATACCAAATATGAACAAAATCGCTCCACTACTTTTCGAGTTATACTAAAAAACGTTAAAATGGCGGCCATTTTGAAAAATGGCCGCCTTCTACCAAAAGTGTCATTAGACAGTGTGCCATGCTGATACGTATTCACGTACCAAATATGAACAAAATCGCTCCACTACTTTTCGAATTATAGTAAAATAAGTTAAAATGGCAGCCATTTTTCAAAATGTCCACCATTTTTCAAAATGGCCGCCTTCTACCAAAAGTGTCATTAGACAGTGTGCCATGCTTACAGTATTCACATACCGAATATGAACAAAATCGCTCCACTACTTTTCGAGTTATAGTAAAATATGTTAAAATGGCGGCCATTTTGAAAAATGACCGCCCTCTACCAAAAGTGTCATTAGACAGTGTGCCATGCTTATACGTATTCACATACCAAATATGAACAAAATCGCTCCACTACTTTTCGAGTTTTAGTAAAATAAGTTAAAATGGCGGCCATTTTTCAAAATGTCCGGCCATTTTGTCAAAATGGCGGCCATTTTGAAAAATGACCGCCTTCTACCAAAAGTGTCATTAGACAGTGTGCCATGCCTATAGTATTCACATACCAAATATGAACAAAATCGCTCCACTACTTTTCGAGTTACAGCAAAAATCGTAAAATAACGAGTAAAGGCCACCATTTTTCAAGATGGCTGCCATGTGCTTTTTTAATATCTACATTTCTAGCTTTATTAATGTCCTATATAATTTTTTTACATTTAAAACATATTGCTATTACAGTTTTACATATTGCACCTAAATTACTGTAAAATCGGCACTAAAATGGCCGCCATTTTTAAATGAGCGGCCATTTTGAAAATCGGCTTTCGAGCAGAACTTCTACCCCCATAGGGTATATGTGAACAAAATATGAATAAAATCGGGCCAACGGTATTTGAGTTATTGCCCGGACAGACAGACTATATCCCTCCGAACTTCGTTCTATGGGATAATAATGCATTCCATCAGGGGTTTAAAAGATCAAATATGGGTGACCAAAATTAAGCTGAAAGTAATGGAGCACATGAGTTTTCCCTATGGGAAAATAACAGGAAAATATTGTTTTCTGCTTTATCTAAAAGAAATTTATTATTCCTTTTTATGGGTTAACTTTGTCTCAAAACGCAACATATTGATGCAACAAAAATTGAAAAAGCATGGGTGAAAGGGCTTGAAAATCAGGACAACATTTTCGAAAAAAACATGTGGGTGGATTGTTTGCACCTTCGCTGTCTCAAAGTCCAAACTATTTTATCACCTCTAAGGGTTCTTTTCCTGTAGGTAATGCAATGGCCTATCATATGCACCTGCTGAAATCCTCGAGAAAAAGAGAAAATCTAACATATGACTGTCTGAAATATGTTGCGATACTTTCCGTGCTCCTTTGAGACCTGATACTTCTCAATTTTTTAAACATTGCACTTGTTAAAATTCTTAAACTTCCTTAAAATTCATCTTTGGTATGTTTTTTACTTCTTAGTTTCACACTCTAAAAATATATGTTTCATCATAGAGGTATGGATGAAAAAGCCATAAGGGTCATCCATGGCTATACCCAACATTCGTAATTTTGAAACCTTATATTTACAATTTTTCAAATTTTGGACTTGTTTAAAATCTTTAACTTCCTTAAAACCATCTAAATTATGTTCTACATCTTTAGTTCCATACTACAAAACCATAAATATCACCAAAGAGGGGTGGATTTAGAAACTATAGGGGTCAGCCATGGCTATACCTGGAATTCGTAAATTTGAAACCTTATATTTACATTTTTTCAAATATTGGACTTGTTTAAAACCTTTAACTTCCTTAAAACCCATCTAAACTATGTTTTACATCTTAGTTCCACGTTATAAAACCATAAATATCATCATAGAGGGATGGATCTAGAACCTATAGGGGTCAGCCATGGCTATACCTGGAATTCGTAAATTTGAAACCTTATATTTACAATTTTTCAAATTTTGGTCTTGTTTAAAACCTTTAACTTCCTTAAAACCCATCTAAATTATGTTTTACATCTTAGTTCCATACTATAAAACCATAAGTATCATCATAGAGGGATGGATCTAGAAACTATAGGGGTCAGCCATGGCTATACCTGGAATTCGTAAATTTGAAACCTTATATTTACAATTTTTCAAATTTTGGACTTGTTTAAAACCTTTAACTTCCTTAAAACCCATCTAAATTATGTTTAACATCTTAGTTTCACACTATAAAACCATAAATATCATCATAGAGGGATGGATCTAGAAGTTATAAGGGTCAGCTATAGTCATACACAAAATCCAGCTGTCAAAAATGTCAAATTTTTCGAAAAATCAACAATTTTTTCTCAGCTCCTACCCCTTCCATGGCTTTGCATCTTTCAGGGTTTCTAACCCTGCTATTGGGCACTTCACATGAATTTTTCCAACCTCTTACAGTGTCTAATTGAAAAGTTAGAATCAAAATAGTAAGAAAATGAGTCACGAATTTGCCCCCTGGGGTACATACTTTGTACTAATTTTCAAATTCTTTAGGAGTTATCAGCATCAATTATACTGCAAGTGATTCATATATATAATATCTATGTATGTCACTTACAAACATCAACATATCTAAGGTTATTTACTGTGAACAATTTTTTTCCCCGGGTGGGGTGTTTTTGGGGGGTGGGGGGCTAACTCCTCAAAAAAAAGAACTTCCTACCACTCTGTGAAGCTATCACCTAGGTGGAAGTTTCATCCAAGACTCTCCCCTAACTGAAAATGCTGCCAAACCAACTATACACCATTTATTGAGAATTTTCCTCCTCGCCCCTTGAGTAAATATGGAAGATATAAAATAAAAAACTAGTGCATCTATATGAAACAATATTTTACAAAAGGTGTCTCTTTATGTTTATGTGGCAATATGTCTTATATATACAATAAAGCCATAAATCATACACAAAGTTTTGTAACCAGGTCCTGGAAATCTACCTTTCTGACATAGTAATGACATTTTTATCCAACCTTGTGTACATGGAAATGAATACCACAGTTCCTTTCTTTGAAAAGGAGTATATAAAAAAGAAACATTCACTTTTTAAAGGTAATTCTTTTTGAATGCTTTAAACACCTATGCAAAATAAACCCCAGGTACAAAAGCGAGGGATTCTGGTATGAACTTATTATTTGCACATGAGTAGCATGCATATAGGAACATGAAAAATATGATTAAGCATGCCAAATGCCAATATGAATTTTGCATACTGACAATATGCAAGTATTCAATGGAGGATCCTCAGTAAAGATTATTCACAGGGATTTCACTAGAATTTTTCACAACAGGCTAAATAAATGAAAACAACAAGCAAAATTAATGGAAATCATAAATTTAACATGGAAAAGTTGAAAAGTCCCCAAAAATGACAGACGATTTTGTGAAAACAACCGGTGAAGATCAACTGTTGCCTGCTGCTAATGAAACCCCTGAATTCACTCAAGAATAATCCGCTGAGAAAGCTCATAAGGAAGCATGAGAAAGCATTGAATCAGATAAAATGCATACTGCCCCAGACTGCAACTCAACAATGGCATTGATAACATCAGCTAAGATGTCCCATTTCCATCTTGATATTTCTTTTTATGTTCTGATGAGGATGTCTCTACAAATAAAAAATTATTAGGAAAAACTATCAAATTCTGAAACTTTCTTCCTGACATATGCAATTTCAATCTTAATACTTAGATATAAGCATTTCCTTTGAAGGATTATAATCAATATAGAAAAATATCCATATTTGAAGGACAAATTCAAAGACACTAGAAAAATCAGAATTGTGGAAATACATTTCTCCGAACAAGTAAATCTCACTAAACACAATGGTATTTATCTTAAATTGTAACAGCATGATTATAAAATACCTTCATATCGTTTGCATGTCTGGCTCCCAATTTTATTTGGCATCAATGCATGTCCTTCTGGTATTTTTTGACATTGATCGGGCATCCTTTCATGTTCTTTGAAGGTTAATTTATGTTCTTCAGGCATATTTTCAGAGATCTTTTCATGTTCTTCAGAGATTCTTTCCTGTCCTTCAGAGATTCGTTCAAGTCCTTTAGAAATTCTTTCATGTTCTTCAGGGATTCTTTCATATTCTTCAGAGATTTTTTCCTGTCCTTCAGAGATTCTTTCATCTTCAGGGATTCTTTCATGTCCTTCAGAGATTTTTTCCTGTCCTTCAGAGATTCTTTCATCTTCAGGGATTCTTTCATATTCTTCAGAGATTTTTTCCTGTCCTTCAGAGATTCTTTCATCTTCAGGGATTCTTTCATGACCTTCAGAGATTTTTTCCTGTCCTTCAGAGATTCTTTCATCTTCAGGGATTCTTTCATGTTCTTCAGGAATTCTTTCATCTTCTTCAGGGATCATTTCATCTTCAGGGATTCTTTCATATTCTTCAAAGATTCTTCTATGTCCTTCAGAGATTTTTTCCTGTCCTTCAGAGATTCGTTCATGTTCCTCAGGGATTCTTTCATGTTCCTCAGAGATTCTTTCATCTTCTTCAGGGATCATTTCATCTTCAGGGATTCTTTCATATTCTTCAGGGATTCTTTCATGTTCAACAGGGATTCTTTCAAGTTCTTCAGAGATTTTTTCCTGTCCTTCAGAGATTCTTTCATCTTCAGGGATTCTTTCATGTTCTTCAGAGATTCTTTCATCTTCTTCAGGGATTCTTTCATATTCTTCAGGGATTCTTTCATCTTCTTCAGGGATTCTTTCATCTTCTTCAGGGATCATTTCAGCTGTCAGTCTCTTTTCACATCTTTCTGATGTTCTTTCATATCCTTTGGGTATGCTCTTGTGTTCTTTTATTATCTCAAACATGATTGCATACCAAAGCTGTAATTGTTGCAGTTTGCTCTTGCTGTAAAATGGCCTTGCCCAAGTTTTAAGTCCTCTTAGAAAAGCAGCAATATTGTTGTAATGGTCTCTCATTTCAATAATTGATGTGCTAGCTTGGTTATTAATAACCTGTCCTTCAGGTATATTCTCATGTCCTTCAAGTGTTTTCTTGTGTCCTTCAGGCATCCTCTCGTGTTTTCTTGTGTCCTTCAGACATCCTCTTGTGTCTTTAGGTATACTCCCGTGTCCTTCAGATATCTTTTCATGTCCTTCATGTGTCTTTTCATGTCTCTCAGATATCCTCTCTTGTCCTTTAAATATACTCTTATCACTTTCAGGCACTTCTTCATGTCCTTCAGGCATTTTTTGAAGTCCTGAGTGCAGTATTCCTTTTAGTCTTCTCATGAACTTTTCCCCTATTACTGCATTCCACACATTAATTTCACGACTCCATACATCACTATAGAAATAACTATCACTTTCATGTCCTTCAACGATCCTATCATGTTCTCCAGGAATATTTTCATCTCCTTCTGGTATCTTTTCAGAGATTATTTCATGTTCTTCAGAGATCCTTTCATGTTCTTTAATGATCCCTTCATGCCCTTCAGGGATCATTTTGGCAGTCCGTATTTTTTCACATCCTTCTAGTGTTCTTTCAGATACTTTTGATATTCTCTTGTGTTCTTTAATCATCTCGAACATGATTGTATACCAAAGTTGCAATTGTTGCATTTTGCTCTTACCATAAAATGGTGTTGCCCATGTTATGAGTCCCCTCAGAAATGCTGCAATATTTTGGAAATGTTCTCTCATATCAACGATTGAGGCACTCACTGGGGCAAGCATGTGCATCTCTGTTGTAAGTTTCCTTATGATCTTGTTATATTGTATTGTGTACCACACCGCTAATTCACGATTCCTTCCACGACCATAGAAATCTCCATGATTCACCATAAAGGTAGCCATGACACGGTAATGTTCTGCAAGCTTGAAATCAAATTCATCACACCTTTCAAAGTCGATTTTTCCGATCGAGGTTGCAAACAGAAGACTAGTTTTATTTACAAATCCAGAGTCAGACAGAAAAAGATTCCAAAAATCAGGAGGGATGATTTCAGAAAAGACATTGTCCTGAAGGCTTTTCCCTAGATTTGGCCATTCTTGATAGAGCAAATCTATGTACCCACTTTTAAATGAAGCACATACAAAAGCAGAAGGAATTTCAAGTAATCTCTCCAGAATATTCAAATTGGCATCAAACCCAACAAAATCCATCTCATGAAGGACGTTGTGTGCTGGGACGAAGTAATGGGGGAGGAATCTTCTATAGAGAAACTCCAGCAGCTTGTTTAAAAGTTTCATAAAACATTCTGCCTCATTTTCTCTGGTCCACTCAGACTGGGGTAGCTCTTCACATAACCATAGAAGGGTGCACTTCAGATGAAATGACTGTAATTCAATCTTGAAATCATATTCTGACTCCTCATCTTTCAGGTAAACCATTTCTGGATCTGTCTCACAAGAAAATTTGTAGAGATATTTCAAGAGAAGATAGCATCTAATCTGAGTTCTATTCAGGCTCCACACAAGTTGCTTTTCAGCCAGTGAGAAGGACCAACTCCAGTCAATACACTCTGTTGTATCAGTGAACAGACTTATGCTCATCTTTGTCAATGTTTCTGGTAGTTTGCCTGGACTTCTGGGGACAAGATGACATCCAGAATTGACAATTTTTTTGACCAATGCTGTATTTGGCCAACCACTTTTTTTGATGTTCCGTTCAATGAAGTCTCTAGCAATCTTTGGCCATTTGAGAAACCTTATAACTGGCACATGATCCACATATAAACTTGATTTACTCAGAGTTGAGTAGAGCACATTCTCACCCACATTGACCTTTCTTTTTCCTTCAGGTTTTGGACGTGTAAATAACTTCACCAATTTTTTCAACTCTTGACAAGGGTTGCCCCATATTGCTGTCTATATACACTCTTGACATGTATTTCCCTATATTGCGTCCAAGATGCAGTCTTGGAAAGGGTATTTCATGAATTGTATTTGCAATAAACACTACTTCATTCACAGCAGGGCCTCTTATTCGCCTCTGATCTGTCCAAATTTCAGTTGTAACTCCATTCTCACGGAACATTATGCAACTTTCAGCCTTGCAATTATCACAAAGATCCCCATAGCGATTATGTCCACTCTTCCATCTACACTCACATTTATGTTTATTTGAAGATAGCTTTGTAAGAAAATTCAGTAAATATGAACGTGACAGTTTTGGAACCAACCGAAAATGTCCAGTATAGTTTTTCAATTTACTTGGCTCGATTTTTTGGAATTCGTTTATTTCCAACCAACCTATCTTTACCTCTTTCCTACTCGAGGCTTTTTCCTTCACAATTCTCTCAAAATCCATTATTGGTATTGGCATATCAATCCGAACGCACATCAAATTCTGAGATTCTGAAGGTTTTATAAGTAATGGAGCACAACCAAGTTTATGTATAATGTTAACAAATTCTATTGTGGAGGCAAGACTTTCACATTGTTCCATTGCTATGAAGTCCTTATCTTCATACATGATGTCAACATCAAAACGCTTAACATGATCAAGCATATCATAGTTACTTTCCTCTGCAAGACTAATCCCTAGAAATGCAGTACCTTCTGCTAAACTACCAGAAAAGACTGTAGCACCCATATCCTTCTTGACAAAATGGTGAATCTTATCACCAAGAACATCTTCTGTTTTAGAGGACTCGTTCATATCTTGTGTGAAAATAATTGAGTTCATAACAATGTTCAGCTTTTCCATTTCTTTTTTTCTAAACTCTTCCATTTTGTTAGATATGTCACGAAGATGTTTTTAGATCAAACAGTTTAGATAGCAATTTGCTTTTGATGTTTTGGTAACTTTTAAAGTCTGAAATACAAATGGAAAGTTCCACAATATTAATTTTACTTAAATGTTCCAAAAGTGATTAGGGACTTAATCAAAAAAATATCAATGTTTTCTGTAAAAGTAGATAAAAAACAAAGGATAAGATTATCTTTTCCACATCTACTGTACATCTACTTAATTTGGCGCTTCTAATTTTGGCAGATTTGCTGTTTTGAACATTTGGCAGCTACTTAATTTGGCAGACTTCATCCCACGGTATCCAAACTGCGTGCATACTATGCATGCATTTTGTAACACTGACAAACTGTGCGCATATCAACATTGCATCATACAAGTGTTTTCAAACGTCATTTTAAGACATTTATTCTGCCTTGTTTTATAGTTTCATACGCCCATTCGGTGGCAATTATATGGTTCTACCATGTGATAGCGAAAGTTATGTCTAGATAAACGTAGTTTTTTAAATATATGAAGTTTAATAAAAAATTGTCATCGGTTTTTCGATTACCGCCACATAAGTTAAGATGTCACACTTTTCACAGAAATAGAAAATACTATATTACTTAAACTATATGCAGCAATCCTGTATCTTTCAGTATATACCAACACAAGGGCTAAATAGACTTCAAATTACGACAAACAGACATTATATGACGCAACACTGTATATTTTGAACATGAAAGCTCTTTAGGATCCTTATATTGAGATATATTGAGATTGAGGTAATGTCTGATAAACAAAATTAAACAAAAAAATTTGTATTTCCAGTACTTCTCATCCTTATGGGAGTCGTGTCCTCCCCATCTGCCATTTTTAAATATGCGCGCAGTTTGTCAGGGTTTCAAACTGCGTGCATAGTATGCGCACAGTTTGGATACCGCACCGTGGACTTTTTTGCAGATTTGCAATATTAAAAAATCTGGCGAACTTCAAAGGATGCACTTGACTTATTACATCCTTGATGCTATCTGTTGACTTTCGTTTGACTATTAATTGTCTTTGGTTCTTTAAAGTACATGAAGTTGAGAATGGACATGTTGTTATTATTGTACATATGTGACGATTTTGAACAGATTTTTAAAGAGATTGTTCACCAGAAAATGTGGTTAATATCATGCAGTGTGAATCCCAGAGAATTTCGGAATTTGGCAGAGACTTCATTAAGTAGAAGTACAGTATTAAGTTTAGACATTAATGCCACATGTCAGCCTTGATAATTTCAATGTTCTGGCATTAAAGAGAGAATCAGATCTAGCAAGCAGCCCAACAAAAAATTGTTTCAATTTTAAACTATTTCTGGCTCATGTCATTCCTTTCATGTCTATTTTCCTAAAATCACCAAAGTGCATACTTTATTTCAGAAAAACTAAAGATATTTACAATAACGTATTATTTTTCTATAAGAATGGTTACCATTCTTATTAGGAGGCCCCGACAGGGGGCCTCCTATAGATTTTATAGATATTATTAGGAGGCCCTCCTGAAAGGGCCTCCTATAGCTTTTGTAGCTTTTCTTTATTTATTTATTCTTATTATTAGGAGGCCCCGACAGGGGGCCTCCTATAGATTTTATAGATATTATTTATTCTTTTTATTCTTTATTATTATTATTTATTCTTCTCTGCACTTTTTCTCCTACTTCTAACTAGATTTCAACTATCTACTATATGTACCTACTAGGGACCTAGGTTGAACTTACCGGGAAAGGAATTTTTATCTAGGTCAAGGTCAAAGGTCAAAATCTAGGTCAAATCAAAGTTTTTTCTAAGTTTCTCAGATTTCGTCCTCATACTTCATTATTTCTTGCGAGGAATTAAAATGTAACTAGATATAAGCATTCCCTACAAATTACTCACTATATGTTCGCGTTAATTTTTTACCGTTTTTGAGATAATTGACGTCAAAAAATGGTAAAAATTGGTCATTTTTTAACTTGCTTCAAATTGACCAAATTTTTTTTTAAAATCATCTACAAGTTCTCAGGAACTCAAATCTGACCTTAGTTTTGACCTTTGACCTTTGGTTGACCTTCAGTGACCTTCGAAAGGTAAAAAAAGTTGATTTTTCAAATTGATTTTCTGGATTCAAATTTAGGTACATTTGATTACAAAAGACCCACTGAGGTCTAAAAAAGTAAAATTTGCAAGGTCAAAGGTCAAGGTCATCAAACTAAATCACAAACTGTGTTTTCTAAGTTTCTAAGTTTTGGTGACTACAAATCAATATTTTTTCATGAAAGTCAGGATATATATTCCTCTATAGGTTCTACACGTATTAGTAATTGACTATTTATTAAAATTGTGTACCAGTTTTGAGATATTAGAACTCAAAAACTGAAAAAAGGTCACATTTCGAAACTTTTCAAGACTAAATTTCAACTTGCTTCAAATTGACCAAATGTTTTTTTAAAACTCATCTACAAGTTCTCAGGATTCCAAATCTGACCTTACTTTTGACCTTTGACCTTTGGTTGACCTTCAGTGACCTCCGAAAGGTCAAAAAAGTTGATTTTTCAACTCGATTTTCTGGATTCAAATTTAGGTATATTTATTCACAAAAGACCCACTGAGGTCTAAAAAAGTAAAATTTGCAAGGTCAAAGGTCAAGGTCATCAAACGAAATCACAAACTGTGTTTTCTAAGTTTCTCAAAATTGGAGACTACAAATCAATTTTTTTACTGAAAGTCAGAATATATATTCCTCTAAAGGTTCTACACATATTAGCACTTGACTATTTATTAAAATTTTGCTCCAGTTTTGAGATATTAGAACTGAAAAACTGAAAAAAGGTCAAATTTCGAAATTTTTCAAGGTCAAATTTCAACTTGCTCTAAATTGACCAATTTTTTTTTAAAAGCATCTACAAGATCTCAGGAACTCAAATCTGACCTTAGTTTTGAACTATGACCTTTAGTTGACCTTCAGTGACCTTCGAAAGGTCAAAAAAGTTAATTTTTCAAATTGATTTTATGGATTCAAATTTAGGTTTCTTCAATCAGAAAAGATATACTGAGGTCTAAAAAAGTAAAACCTGTAAGGTCAAAGGTCAAGGTCATCAAACAAGATCACAAACTGTGTTTTCTAAGTTTCTCAAAGTTTGTGACTACAAATCAATATTTTTGAATTCAAGTCAGGATATATATTCCTCTAAAGGTTTTACACATAATAACAATTGATTATCTATTAAAATTCTGCACCAGTTTTGAGATATTGGACCTCAAAAACTGAAAAAGGTCTAATGTTGAAATTTTTCAAGGTCAAATTTCACATTGCTTCAAATTGACCAAACTTTTTTTTAAAAATCATCTACAAGATGCCTGGAGTTCATATATGTCCTTGTTTTTAAGATTTGACCTTTGGCTGACCTTTAAATGTTCAAAAAAGCCTACGGGGCCTCCGTAAGATTGCTTGCAATCTTTATACGATTGCTTGCAATCTTATACATCTAGTTATTCTATCAAAGCAGTTTTCTCCTACTTTCAACTAGCTTTCAACTTTCTACTATATGCTCCTACTAGATACCTGGTTTGATCTTGATGGGAAAATATTTCATATCTAGGTCAAGGTCAAAGGTCAAAATCAAGGTCAAATCTAAGCTTTTTTTAAGTTTCTCAAAGCCTGACACTACACTTCAACATTTTTGGCTGATTTTTTGCATACAGATAGATATTAGTATTCTATTAGTGTGAGCCTTTTGCCGTCTAGACAAATTTCGTCTAGATTTTGAGATATTGACGTCAAAAAACGGTCAAAAAAGGTCGTTTTTCAACTTGCTTCAAATTGACCAAATTTTTTTTTAGCTTTTGTAGCTTTTCTTTATTTATTTATTCTTATTATTATTCTATCAAAGCAGTTTTCTCCTACTTTCAACTAGCTTTCAACTTTCTACTATATGCTCCTACTAGATACCTGGTTTGATCTTGATGGGAAAATATTTCATATCTAGGTCAAGGTCAAAGGTCAAAATCAAGGTCAAATCTAAGCTTTTTTTAAGTTTCTCAAAGCCTGACACTACACTTCAACATTTTTGGCTGATTTTTTGCATACAGATAGATATTAGTATTCTATTAGTGTGAGCCTTTTGCCGTCTAGACAAATTTCGTCTAGATTTTGAGATATTGACGTCAAAAAACGGTCAAAAAAGGTCGTTTTTCAACTTGCTTCAAATTGACCAAATTTTTTTTTAAAACTCATCTACAAGTTCTCAGGATTCAAAATCTGACCTTACTTTTGACCTTTGACCTTCGGTTGACCTTCAGTGACCTCCGAAAGGTCAAGAAAGTTGATTTTTCAAATCAATTTTCTGGATTCAAATTTAGGTATATTTATTCACAAAAGACCTTCTGAGGTCTAAAAAGTAAAATTTGCAAGGTCAAAGGTCAAGGTCATCAAACGAAATCACAAACTGTGTTTTCTAAGTTTCTCAAAATTGGAGACTACAAATCAACTTTTTTTACTGAAAGTCAGAATATATATTCCTCTAAAGGCTCTACACATATTAGCAATTGACTATTTATTAAAATTTTGCTCCAGTTTTCAGATATTAGAACTCAAAAACTGAAAAAGGTCAAATTTCGAAATTTTTCAGGGTCAAATTTCAACTTGCTCTAAATTGACCAAACTTTTTTTTAAAAAGCATCTACAAGATCTCAGGAACTCAAATCTGACCTTAGTTTTGACCTATCACCTTTAGTTGACCTTCAATGACCTTCGAAAGGTCAGAAAAGTTGATTTTTCAAATTGAGTCTTTGGATTCAAATTTAGGTCAGTCTAATTACAAAAAGCCTACTGAGGTCTAAAAAAGTAAAAATTTCAAGGTCAAAGGTCAAGGTCATCAAATTAGGTCACAAACTGTGCTATCTAAGTTTCTCATAGTTCAAGACTACAAATCAATATTTTTAATTGAAAGTCAAGATATACATTCCTCTAAGGGTTCTACACATATTAGCAATTGACTATTTATTAAAATTTTGTCCCACTTTTGAGATATAAGAGCTCAAAAACTGAAAAAGGTCAATTTTTCAGAGTCTATAAGGTCAAATTTAAACTTGCTTCAAATTCACCCAATTTTTTTTTTGAAAATCATCTACAACTTCTCAGGAGTTCATATTTAACCACAGATTTGACATTTGACCTTTAGTTGACCTTCAGTGACCTTCGAAAGGTCAGAGAAGTTGATTTTTCAAATCGAGTTTTGGG